GAGCTGTGCAATATGTAACTTTCTTGGATTCCATCCATTGCACAGGGGCTAGTAAAAGTAAATCATAGACTGGATATCTGGTCAATCAGTTGTTTCTGGCTATATCACTATTTGCTTATGTAGTTAACTTTGTTGGTTTAGTTATCAATCCAAATAATACTTGTCATACCACAGGTTGTAGGTTCTGCTTCAACATTGAAGGAAGATAAACACTGGAACAACCTTGTTGAGAGTGCAAAAGAGCGGGGTCGCTATTTCCAGGTTTGATTGCTGCCACCTTTTCCTTTTGTTCAAAGCATAGGAAGTAAACACTTGAATGAATCTAACTATGAGCACCTTGTAGGTTCCGAAGCCATTCACCGCATTCTTTGTGGATGATAAGCTGAAAACCATGAAAGTGGAGAGAGCTCCTCCGGAGCTGAGGACTGTGCAAGCATTGGAAGCAATAAACGAAGCAGTTGTAGGGCAAGAACTCATGGATGTCGACGATGCTGGCGACCAAGAGGATGAAGGGTATGATGATGATCCCGTGGAGGCTGATGATGGTGGCGGCGATGACTAACCATTCACTACCACATAGAGGTATGTAGAAGAGCAACATTTGTTTAGGTGGACTTGGATGCTGGACCCCAGCCACAGCCAGGGCCTTTAGTTGAGCCTTCGAATTACAAATTCAGTGCCGTGATTCTTTGCTATTTCGGGTGCGAGAGGTGGCTGAATGCCTGAGTTCATAGTTGCAGGCATAGCTACATCTTATGTTTTAAGTTATGTATGTATACAAAGCCCCTTGCACCAAAAGAGCTGAAAACTGCTCCACTGGCTTTAATTTGTCTGCGGCTATAATTTTGCACGGCAGTTGTGCATATTGTTCCAAAAAAAGAAGTGTTGCTCTAGGCTGTGGCAGTCTGATGGCATTTTCTTTGGTGTTCGTAGGTAAGTGTGTAACCAGTGATTTATCTCATCTTTCTTTTACATGGGGTACTTGCAGATGTCGAAGAAAACCATTGTTTGCTTTTCTTTATGAAAGCCAAGTGCATTAACCGCAGCATACATGCACTGCCTGAGCGGCAGAACACACATGGGCTGCCATCATGAGTTTGCAGCTGCTGCCTGCGTGTAGATGAGCTGCACAACAGATGGCATTGGCCTTTAAAAGGCAGAGTAAAAGAGCAATATATGCAGTGACATGTACACAGAGACACCGAGAAACCAAGTCGAGAGAGGCGTGTATGCACGACAGGAGGGGTTTCTAGTGCAATTCTTTGGTTTTTGTTTTTCTCCTTTTTCATGCTCAAGGTAAAGTGAGCTGGATGGGCGCATTCTAAGCCAAGAAGTCTCTCTCTCTATATATATATATATATGTATATATATATATATATATACAAATTTACTATATAGTATACTCATATGGGGCACCATGGTGCCCGGGCACCATGGTTTCAAATGCACAAAATTACTCAAAATTTTCAAAATTTTTAAATTGTGAGTATATACCTAGTTATAAGAATTCGATTCATACATATATCTATCAACAAAACAACTCAAATTTAACTTTATTTCACAATTCATGATTACATACCTAACTAATTATATGTATGGATGCTATATACCTAGAATCAAAATCTAACAAAAACAAGTTCAAATTCAGTTCAAACTTGCTTTGAACTAGTTAGTAAAGTAGTTAATGTTAATACCTAAATAATTGAAAAAGTTTCATACTCATTTGAATTAGTTATATACTCAATTTCAACAATGTTGCCCGGGCACCATGGAGCACCAAACAAATTTACTATATATATATATATATACACATATATACATACTATATATATATATATATAGTATGTATATATATATATATATATATACATACTATATATATATATATATATATATATATATATATATATATATATATATATTTATATATATACACATATATACATACATACTATATATATATATACATACATACATACATACATACATACACTGAAAATCCTCGTGTCACCAGTTCAAATCTGGTTCCTGGCACAGAAAAAAGGGATCTTCCGAATAGGTATTGATACAAATACCTCGAGATGGGTTGGGATACATATTCGTTAATAATATAGATAGAGTATGATTTTTTTCATCTAAGTAGATAAATCTCTAAATAGAGGCACTTCTTTTTCTGCATTTTTGCATTTCTTAATTTTCTATTCCGCTATTCCGACAAATATTTTTTATTCTTGCTTATCTTATCTTACTTTCCTAGTCGTTCTAAGTAATGCACGCTGTACAAAGTTCGTGGTAGGGTTCTTTGAGTCATCATATTTTTCTCTGTTCATACGAAGGAAATGAATATGTGATTTTCTAACGAAATGAAGCCCTTTATATATATATATATATATATATATATATATATATATATATATATATATATATAGTAAATTTGTTTGGTGCTCCATGGTGCCCGGGCACCATTGTTGAAATTGAGTATATAACCAATTCAAATGAGTATGAAACTTTTTCAATTATTTAGGTATTAACATTAACTACTTTACTAACTACTTCAAAGCAAGTTTGAACTGAATTTGAACTTGTTTTTGTTAGATTTTGATTCTAGGTATATAGCATCCATACATATAATTAGTTAGGTATGTAATCATGAATTGTGAAATAAAGTTAAATTTGAGTTGTTTTGTTGATAGATATATGTATGAATCGAATTCTTATAACTAGGTATATACTCACAATTTAAAAATTTTGAAAAATTTGAGTAATTTTGTGCATTTGAAACCATGGTGCCCGGGCACCATGGTGCCCCATATGAGTGTCCTATATATATATATATATATATTCTTTTTTAGTAGCTCGAACTATAGGACTGGGAGGCACTGGGACTTTAGGCCATGCAACAGTTGTGATAAAATGCGCATAGATCCTTTGCACTGCGGCTAGAACTAGAAGTCACTGACAAGCGGGTCTGGTCCCACGTGAGTGGCTCATACATCGCCAGTGGTATTGCAGAGGGTGTGTATGGCAGGCCATAAGTAGCTATGGAGGCATGGGTAGTAAGAACCACGAGAGAGTTAACGTGCAGCAAATCTATCATCTTTGTCATGCCGTAAAAAAGATGTTAATCATATGTAACATCCCAGCCTAGTACTTAATAGGATTAATAAAATACTCATATCAACAAGTTGCAACTTTTTTTTCGGAAGCCGATCACTAAGGAACTCTGAGGTTAATCGTGCTTGGCTTGGAGCAATTTAGGGACGGGTGACCGATCGGGAAGAAGATATGTAAGTTCTTCCTGAGTTCACACTAGTAAGGACGGACAAAGTGTGCAGAAAAGATATGTAAGTTCTTCAAGTTCTTCCTGAGTTCACACTCACTAGTAAGGACAAAGTTGGTCTGTGAGGACTCTGAGGTTAATCGTGCTTGGCTTGGAGCAATTTAGGGACGGGTGACCGATCGGGAAGAAGATATGTAAGTTCTTCCTGAGTTCACACTAGTAAGTACGGACAAAGTGTGCAGAAAAGATATGTAAGTTCTTCAAGTTCTTCCTGAGTTCACACTCACTAGTAAGGACAAAGTTGGTCTGTGAGGGCTCTAGTAAGGACGGATAAAGTGTGCAGAAAAGATATGTAAGTTCTTCAAGTTCTTCCTGAGTTCACACTCACTAGTAAGGACAAAGTTGATCTGTGAGGGCAGTCTATGACCTATGAAAGCTACCATATGTAAGCGGGCCCGGCCTGGGAGAGACGGGATGTTACATCATGAAATCTTCGTCTACGAAGATTTCTTAAGACCTTTTTTTTTTCAGATCATATGTATGCATCTAGCTATGTACGCAGGTTGTTCAGTACAAGGAAAAATAATCCCAAAAATCATAGTGCTGATTTGAGGCTTCTAATTGTCAATACCTATATGAGTTTCAGATTCCAAGTACCTCTATGTGCATGTGTATATCATTGTCTCCATCAATTCTTTTAGAAAGACAAATATAACTAGAATCTCTAGCATGCACTGTATATAATAAATATATAAACAGAGAGCACCCGTGCCAATTATTCCTCTTAACTTGGATGACCATGGAGGTTAAATAGCCTCTACCATTTAATTTGCTCTCTATTTACCATTCTTCCTTGGGATGAACTAAAACGTGGGTTGGAAGGCACCGGCATTTTCAGGCTAGAGACTGACAATCATTTAGCAGCTTGCGCATTTTAAGGATACAGCTTTGGATGGCTGTGTAAGCTCGGGATGAGCTTCGTCGTGCCTCCACTAAGCTCTGATCTTTATGTGCAGAGGATAGTGGGGGCTCCAAATAGTAGTGGCTCATAACACACAAGCATAAATTTGTGTTCCGATCCAAAAATTAGAGAGGAATGCAGAAGGATGAGAGGGTCGTCTAAATAACTAAATTGTTGGGTTTATTTGTGCAGTTGTCCCCAAACTGTGTATATTAGCGCTGCTGCTACTCTGTATTATGTAGCTGTTCAAAGTGTATTACAGTGTAGCTAGTCTGGTTTTTAGTGAGTGCAAAACCATAACCACTGGTTCATTTCTGGATGTGGATTGAACTTTTTTTCTTAGATTTTCTCTTCTCTTCTCTCTCTCTCTCTCTATCCCTAGATTGTAATCTTACAAAATATACACCTTTTAGGAAACTATTTATACCTTGACAGGATGTCTTCTTGTTTTAATATCACTCAAAAAATCACTAAAAAAACTGAAAAAAAGCAAGCTAGATCAATATGTGATATGCCACTCTACAAACATGCATGTTTAAATTCAACTCATACAACAAATTCGACTTTGAATAAAACACGTAATTCACAGTCAAATTTGCTATATTTGTTTCTAATTGTACAAGTTGAATTTAAGCTTACATGGTTGTGGAATGACACATCACATACTGGTCTGTCTTTCCATTTTTTTTCTCAAAATTTTCTGATGATTTTTTCAATGCCATGTACAAAATAAGAAAACGAGAGGATATCTCCTCGAGCGATAAAAATCCATCTCCCATCTTTTGTTCACCAAAAGACCATACTCAGGAAACCTTACTTCAGAGTGCCATATAGTGCATCCTTTACATTTTTTTAGATAATGGATTAAACCGGCCTCTACACCCAAAAAAGGATGTACACAGCCCCAACGAAACTTACAAGAGTACATAAACTCACACCCTTACACAAGGTTTAACACCATCACAAGCAACTAGACCCGAGTACTTAGGCTCTAGCAACAGAAATTCTTAAAAAGTTAATACAAAGTTTCAACCATACCACACAAGAAAACCAGAGAGCATTAATCTCCCAATCTTTTCCTTAAGTTCCATCCCTTCATTGCGAAAAAGCCAGAAACTCTCTTCTCTAGAATCAAGCAACCTTCTCTCACTTTTTGGCCATCTTCTTCCTTAAGTAGCAAAGACCATTGTCTTGCCCAAAAAGTCCCCCTGAAAATCACCTGCAACAGAAAATTAGTATTAGAGCCATTAAAGACTACATTATTCCGGCATAACCAAACCGCCCAACACAAAGCTGAAATCCCCACAAGGATTTGAGCTCTTAGCTTGGGTTGAACCCCCTTTAGCCAATTGCCGAACATACTAGCAACATTCCTAGACGGGTGAATTCCAAAAGATATATAGACTGCATTCCACATGAATCTTGCTAAAATACAATCTAAGAAAAGGTGTTGAATTGATTCGTTAGAATCACAAAAACAACACTTAACATTACCTTTCCACTTCCTTTTGGCTAAATTATCCTTTGTTAAAATTACTCCATTCTTTAAGTACCACAAGAAAATTTTAATTTTTAGTGGTATTCTGAGTTTCCAAATCATGTCCTTTTTAGGAACGACTTCCCTGTACATGATTGCTTTGTACATTGAGTTAACTGAGAAACGCCCATTCTTTTGTATCTCCCACAAAAAGGTACCATTTTGCTCGGTCAATTTTATTGATATAACCTTTGAGACCACTTCCAACCAAGCTTTTAAATATGACCCACAATAGCCCTCCTAAAGGACACTTTTAGAGGTCTTTTACTCATAACCACTGCCACTGATTCATTCTTGTTTATCACAAGGTTGTATAAGGCCAGGTAACGAGCAGCAAAGGGAGTATTCCCGTTCCATTTATCCTCCTAGAATCTGACCTGAGTCCCATTGTGCACTTTTAATGATCCACAAGAAAGGAAGATGTTCTTAACCATCATGAGTCCTGACCAGAAATGAGAATCCCCTGGTTTTTTCTCTACATGAGTCAAAGTTTTCTTAGATAGGTATTTCCTTCTTAACAAGTTTTGCCAAACTCTCTCTTCATTCCAAAGTTTATATAACCATTTGCTTAACATGCATTTGTTTTGTAGTTCTAGGTTCTGTATCCCAAGACCCCCACATTCCTTTGGCTTGCATAAAATGCTCCACTTAGCCAACCTATACTTCTTCTTATGTTCTTCACATTGCCAAAAGAAACGTGACCTATAATAGTCCAACTTCTCGAGAATACCTTTAGGTACCTCAAAAAAAGAGAGCATGAACATAGCCAAGCTGCTAAGCACCAAGTTTATCAACACTAATCTACCACCTACTGATAGATGCTTTCCTTTCCAACTACTTATTTTTTTCTGAATTCTCTCTTCGATTGTAAGTCAATCTTTGTTTGACAATTTTTTGTGATGCATTGGGATCCCTAGATATCTAAATGGATACCTACCGGAACCGCAGCCAAACAACGTGACATACTCTCTCTCCACTTCCTTAGCCCTACCAAAACAGAACAATTCACTCTTGTGGAAGTTGATCTTTAGACCCCGCTAACCTCTCGAATGTATTTAGTACAAGTTTGAGGTTTTTGGCATCTTCTAGATCATGTTCCATCAAGATGATTGTATCATCTGCATATTGCAAGATAGATAGCCCATTATCTACCAGATGCAGTATCACCCCATGAAAGCTCCCTCGTTCATTTGCCCTTTTAATCAAGATTGCTAACATGTCAGCCACCAAATTAAAGAGGATCGGCGATAATGGATCCCCTTGAAAGAAGTTTCCAGCTTCATCGTTCACCTTAATTGCTACACTACCCCCTCTGACAATCTTATCTATCCACCAACACCAAAGTGGTGAGAATCCTTTCATTCTCAACGTCTGTTGGAGAAATCTTCAGTCTACTTTATCGTAAGCTTTTTCAAAGTCGAGTTTAAAAATTACCCCATCATTCTTCTTCTTATGCATTTCATGAATGCATCATCTACAGAACTTACTATTATCACTCTGTTGTAAACCAAAGCTTTCTGTGGCAAGATTGTGTGAATCATTTCGTATGCCAGGCATCCTTGCATAAATCATTGCAGATTTGCAGGGGTTGAAGAACCCATTTAAATTCTGCATAAGATGTTCTAAAGTTTGATGAGATAGCACGATCGAGAGGCCAAGAAAAAGGATGGGTTGTGCTCATGAGCTAGCCGGCCGTAGGCTTGGGAGGCACTGGGAATGAAACTAAACGAAGAAGCATCTTGGTGACTACAACAATACTCCCATGGTCTCCAAACTCAGCTCCTGATCAAGCTCTCATGAGAGTGATCTTGGTTACTTTGTCTGGGTGACCATGGACAATCCGAGGGCTGAACACAAAGTGGAGCGATTTCTGAGCATGTTTTATACCAGAACCAGGTTTCAGGTGGGAGATGGGGGGCAATCACTGAGCTCTGGAGATCCAACTGACTCGAACAGGGTTCATTCGAACATGGGATGCTTCCAGATGAACATCACCAATCCCATGGGATGCTTGATGCTTCCAGCTGATGAACATCCGGAGATATCCCTGAACCCAGATGAAGAAGACACTGTGTGGTGGGAGTTGGAGACACATGGCCATTTCACTGTATCATTGGCCTACCAGATGTTCTTCATGGCAAGCCTTGTCCTTAATCCCCTATGTTTGTTCTTCATGGCAAGCCTTGTCCTTAATTCCCTATGTTTGATGTTGTGACGGATCATCCAGAAGGAGAGAAACACAGGAGCAGTGTTTGATTATCTGGGCAAGTACATATTTCGGTATTTATGTCATGATCATTTGCTTTGGTCTAGTTTTCATGCAGAGTAGGATTAGAAATCTCAGGCCGATGTGTCCGAAATCCCCAGTGAAGGGCATTGGCAAGCGTCTCAAGCATTTTAGATTACTTCAGCTTTTGTCTCTATCAACTCTTTGGTGAAACATTCTAGGCCAATTATTCCTCTTAACCAGGGTTTTAAATTTCGAAAGCAGCAGTTCTGCCGCTGGTGAGCGATAGAACCGAAATTTCGTACGAATTTTTTTGAATTTTTGACGGATTTTGAATAAATTCGAATAAAATCTGACCAAATTCACAAAAATTGCAAAAAACCGAAATTTTCGGGTGAGATGTTAGCATTTCGGTGGGGGGGGCGAAATTTCCGAAATTTCGTTCCGAAATTTCAAACACTGCTCTTAACTTGGGTAGCTATGGAATTTTAATAGCCTTAATACCGGTTGATTGGCTGTGCCTTTTTATTGTCAGCTTCAGACATAACAAGGAATCATTCGAGCAACCATACATATATATATCCAATTGCTAGAAGCAATACCTGAGAGATACACGGAATGGCAAGAGACGAAGTTGTTTTCTGCCCATTTACCATTCGTGGTTGAGTCAATGGCGCTTGTGGATTATGTTGCTGAGATGAACTAGACTGTGTGGGATTAGGAGGTACCAGGATTTTCAGGCTACGGGCTTGAGGATGATCTAGCACTAGCAGGTGAAAGGTTTTATGCTTGGATGGATCAGTAAGGTGGATCTACCAGGCCTTGGATGGATGTGAATGCCTGGGACGTGCTTGGATGTGTTCAGCTCAACCACACTGTTCCAGTGCTGAACTATTTAATCATCTGCAGGATTTGAGGCGTTAATTCATACTTCGCAAAGTTCGCATGATTTGAGAGCATAACTGCTCACTGCCTAGCTAGTGAATGGTGCGCGGTGAGGAGACGGCAAGTGCCGGTGTAGCTAGAGCAATGCTGTATAGGATTAGGAGACAATGGGATCTTTTGCTACGCAGCGTGAAGCGGCGTGCCAACTTTGTTCATGATTTCCACTGTCCATACATACTTGGGAGGGTTACTAGGCTTGCGATAGGAGAGGGGTAGGTTTATATTTTGACCTGCTACATTTTGGAGGAGAATGCATTAACAATGCTATTAAGAATAAGGATGAGAGAGTAGAGATCAAATTGTTGGTTTTACTTATGTCCAAATACCTAGCTACTAGTAGGTAGTCTAGTCAAGAAAAGACAATCGTCAATACCTAGCTACTAGTAGGTAGTCTAGTCAAGAAAAGACAATCGTCAATTCTTCATTTCTGTATGTGGATATTGGTCTTTTTCTTCTGCCCATTCGTTTACCCTTCAGTCTATAAGCTGCAACAAAAAAAAATATAACCTAATTTTGGAGTTGTTTTTGGGTTTTTCTTTATCGTAGTTTAAAATTTTATACTATGATACCACGTGTATTTGGGGGTTTACTATTTTGATATACCACGTGTATTTCTCAGTGCGAGGTATCTAATAAGGTGAAGCAAATTACCTATAAGCTCGAGTTTATGGGCATCTGCATCACTGCATGCAGTCGCTGCCTTCGTGTAAATGAATTGCACAGAACCTATCCGATGTGACATATTTCAATACCAATGTGATATTTTCTTGGTAAAATTAGTTGTGAAGATAAAGGTCATGTAATCTTTGCATATGGTGATTTGAAAAAAAAAACTCTTATTTCTTCAGATCAGTACAGAAAAAAAAACAGATAACTACACCGATGTTTGTGCCGTTGGCTTGAATTGGTTGAGCTTGATGTGTTTAGGCCAGCACCACTACTGGAATTACGGAATTACGGTTCTGTTCGTCCGTTGAGTTCTACCGCCCAATACCTGGAGATTAATTAGCCATTCTCATGTTTGCCGATTGGGGCTAAACAAACTAGCAACCGGAACCGGGGCTATCCCGGACGAAAGCTCTATTAAATTATAATATTTTTGAATAAACTGACGATGAAACTTTTATAATAAATGATAGTTACAGTGAAATTTGTCTGGGCTCGAAAATTTTTCTAACCCCACCACTGGCCAGAATTGTTTAATTATCTGTAGGTTTTGAGGTGTTGATACTTCACATGAAGAAAACAGGAACACAAACACAAGAGATAATAGTTTGTACGTATAAATTTCTCAAGATAGGAATATGGCTCTAGAGTCTTTCAACTTTCAAGACTACAAGCACAACCGTAGCTGCATTCTTTTGGGGTTGGGAACCTTCCCCTCATGCAAAACCGGAACGGTAGACTAACGAATATTAATTAAGTATCAGCTAAAATAACTTGAGAATTAAATTTATATGATTTGTTAAGACAACTTTTCTACATAACAGTTTGGGAAGAGTGTAGACAGAAAACAAGAGGGTAGAAGTTGGAAAAATAAAGGTAGGCAGAGATAGTTATAGGGTTAATTAGGAGATGATGAGATGTTATGGTGTGCTTCTTGCAGGTTTGAATGCCATATTATCAGCTATGTTATCTAGTATTATCATAGATACTACTAGAAAAATCAATTTTACAGTCGGACAAATCGGCTTTTCGTAGGCGGCCACTCGAACCGCCTATAGGCAAAGGCCCACGAAAATAGTGTATTTGCAGATGGGTGAACTGGCCGCCTGCAAAAACTGATTTTTCGCGGGCGGATTCCTTAACAGGTCCGCCTGCGAAAATATTTGCATAGCGCAAAAAAAAACCTGGGAAATTCTAAATCCCCCGTACAAGCATATTCGAAAGCCCTAAATCCATTCAACAAATTTATCAAATCCTCAAATCCATTCAATAAATTCATCGCAATTCTCAAATCCAGTAAACAAATTCATCACATATCAACACAACGAAACAAAAATTCGTCGCCAGTCGAAGCCGTCACTGCTCACGAACAAACCTGTGACAGATCTAGGCGCCCGAGGACAACCAACGGTGGAATTGCTCTCCCGACGACGACCCGAGGCAGGCCGGCAGCGGATCCGCGTGCCCGAGGTCAGCCGGCGGTGGATCTGCGCGCCTGGGTGAGCCGGCGGCGGATCAAGGCGTCGTCGTCGTCATCACAGCCGGTGGCAGGACCCAGGCGTCGACGCCGTCGTCGTTGCGGCAGTCATCATCATCGTGGCCGAGGCCAGCTTGCAGTGGATCCGCGCGCCTAGGCGAGCCGACGACGGCAGATCCAAGTGGCATTGTCGTCGTCATCGCAGCCGGCGGTAGGACTCGGCACCGTCATCGTCACCAAGGCGGACCTCCTCGGAGCCGTCGCCAAGGCGCCGACGCCACTCCTCTCCCTAGCCAATGCGTGATGAGAGAGAGAGGAGGAGGGGAATGAGTAGGTTGATCTGTAGGCATGATTTTCGTAGGTGGACCACATAAAGTTTCACTTGCGAAAATCAATTTTCCAGGCGGGCCCCTTAAGAGGTCCGTCTAGATTTTCACAGGCGGGGTTAAATCTAGAGGTTCTTTAGCTATTTTCGCAAACGGTTATAAGAGGATATTTTTTTTGGTCCGCCTGAAAAAAAATAAAAAGCCAACGTTGATAAAAATCGTTTTTCTATTAATGTGACCATACATGTTTGGAGAGTTAGCATGTCTCCAAATAGTAGCGGTCCACGGGTAAATTTGGACACGAAACACATGCTTAGATTTGCGTTTTGACCTACATAACGGAGACTAAATTGTTGGTTTTTTACTTGTGCCCAAAGTTATTGTTGGCATGCTAGCGCTGATGGTCTCTGTATATGTGCTAAAGGCTGATGATGCGACAGCTAGCGCGAGATGCAGGGGCCAAGAAGAATAGGATTGGGCGGCACTAGGAACTGATGAAGCTGAACGACGAACCAACTTGGGGTGATCTTGATCAGAAGACTCCTTTGGTCCCCAAAAACTTATGATCTTGCTTCGCAGCGAGATTGATCCTGGTGATTTCATCTAGCTGTTGTGGTTAACTTGCTGATTGTCCCAACTGAATAGAGGGGCGCCCTGCACTTCTCCTTATCTCTACGTATACCAAGTTTGATTTGGATATTTTGAAAGATGACCATGCTCATCTGTTTACACTCTGTTTCGATATCAATTCTTTAAGTTAATTAGTGCTTGGTATTACATGGTAGGATTTGCTAGGATCGATCCAGTGTACACTAAATTTTAGTTTCAGGTATATATCCAAAATCCCGAGAGGGAGGGAAAAGCGTGGTGCTCTCTACTGTTAGTAGAAATTAATTTAAACCGATTATCTAGTTTATCTAAGGGTTTAGATCTTTTTATATAGTACTACCACATTAGTCAACAGTAGTAGAAATGTGTATAAGGTATAATTGTCCAACAAATATAGGAGTATATGGGTAAAATTATAATTTTTTTCCACTTTATTTTGCCCAGAAAGTGCGAACTGCAGATCCTTAACTAAAGTAAAGATAAATTATGGACTTGTACGTCTACAGTGTTTCAGTTCGAAAATAGGACTCGTAGAAAACTTCTTCATGGAATCAATTGGTTCCACATATATGATAGAGAAAATCCCCTGTGTACCCCTGAAAGTTCACCTAATCCCTTCTGTATCCCTGAATTTTGCTCAATCTCTTGGATACCCCTGAATTTTAGTTTGGATCTCTTCCATGCCCTTTCAACTAGTTGACCGTTAGTTGACCGTTAAATTCTTATGAAAAAGTCCATTTTGCGCTTTGGTATAAAGAAGCATATAAATTAATAGAGTATATTGTTGGAGCATAGAAATGTGTTATATGAGACTATTATGTTTATGAGATAGCTATGCACCATATTATTTGCGATAAATATACTTTTAGATATGACATAAAAAATTAATACTTATTTATTTTTTTAGCATATGTATTCTGATAGTAATAAACAAATATGTTATATTACTATGAAAACACATATGCTACATAAAAGAACTTTTAATAACTAATAAATAAGTATTAAATTTTTATATCATATGTAAAAGTAAATTTGTCACAAATAATATGGTGCATCACAGACTCATAAATATAATAGTCTCATCCAATAAATTTTTACATTCCAACAATATACTTCATTAATTTATTATGTTTCTTCATAGGAAAAGGCAAAATGGACTTTTTCAAAAGAATTTAACGGTCAACTAACGGAAAGGGCATGGAAGAGATCCAAACTAAAATTTAGGGGTATGTAAGGGATTGAGCAAAATTCAGGGGTATAGAAGGGATTAGGTGAACTTTCATAGATACGTAGGGGATTTTCTCAGAATGGTATTACTGATCGAGCCACAGATCTGTACGAGTAGAGTCTTTCGGCTGGAAACTTATCCATACAATACTGCAGATCCAAGGATAGTCGTGTATCAAAAAAGATTTTTGCCGAGCAGTAGCCGTAGTAGATCGACACAGGTGGGAGGATTTGCGCGGAATAATGCTCCGTCGTAAAGTACTGATATGTACTTATGAACCGACTGTTTACATCAATTCTGCTAGTAGTATAATACTCTCGAATATCCGTGACGATCTCTAAAAACATCACGAAAATTTCGTCACAGATTAAATAGTTTCTTGTAGTGTTTGTAGGATATGGGACGATCCCAATCAGACAAGCAAGCCGGCGACGAGAAGGCAGAGGAGTGACATGAGTGGACGGGCAGGCGGGCGGGCAGAGGAGGAGCACATGCAGGCGAAGGAGTGTGACGACAGTCAGGCGGGTGGAGGAGCGGCGCGAGCATGCGAGCAGGCAAATGGGCGGCGGAGGAGCTAGACGGCGGGTGGGCGGCGGAGGAGCTGGATGATGGCTTGGCGGGCGGAGGAGTGGTGCGAGCAGGCGAGCGGGCGGCGGAGGAGCGCAACGGCAGCCTGGCGGGCAGAGGAGCGGTGCGAGCAGGCGGGCGGGCAAAGGAGGAGAGCGAAGAAGGAGTAGCGCGGCAAGTCGGCCAGCGGATGAAGGAGCGGCGCGGTAGGCAAGCAGGCTGACAGGCAGAGGAGCGCGACCGGCGAGCGAGCAAGCGGACGGACGCACGAGCACGCGGAGCGAAGCAGCTTTTCTCACGCCGTGCATCCGACCCAGATGGGACGAACTCATCCACTCGTTTTTGCTGGATGATTTGGTCTTGGATCTGAGGGGAATATTCTTCTAAAGGGACCAACCCATCCCATCTATCCCCCAACCAAACGCTACGAAAAACAGGTTCGTCCCGTCCCAACCCATTCCATCGCACCAACCAAATACTACCTTAAATGCTGCACAATATGTGATGAAGACTCAGCTTTCACGAGATGTGCAGGGATAAGAAAGAAAGAAAGAAAGAAGCTGTGCTCATGAGCCATAGGATTGGGATGCACCGGGAACCGAAGCTAACCGTAGCATCAACTCAGTGTGACTACCAGACGATCCCAATGCACTATACTCAACTTCTCTCCAAACCCAGCTCTTGTTAGCGCCGATTCTGATTAGGATATAGCTGCAGCACGTTGCGATGTATGCCCCGAGAAGACGGGTGGTTCATTTTCACTTGCATGCGAGCCAAGGTAGATCCGAATAAAATGACCATGAATGTTTCACTCTCTCAGCTAATTAACATCGTAATATGTCACATTCCTCTCCTGTACCAGTCTTAAGTGACCACTTGGTATGTTTGACATATATTACGATTTTCAAAGGTGCTAATGTATGCAGAGGATTGGCTTGAGATTTCAGTCATCCGAAATCGGTGTGTCATCCTATATAAGCATTTTTTTTTACAATTTACATGATTCAGTCAGTGTTAAAATTCTCCATAGCCTTGTTAAGTGATGAGCCATTAAAGGAACACCATATACACACACACACACACACCGAGAGGAATTGATGCAGAAGGAAGTTGGATGCCTACATGATGCATACACAAGGCCATGGAATCAGGCATGAGTTTGGTTCTCAATATAATTCTGGCAAGAATTCTGGGGCTTGGGATGTATCAGGAATTCAAGTATGCCTGCTACCTTGGATTTTGCGCAGGCGAAGAGAATTGAAAGCACAATCACCATCAGATCGGTGCCTTCTCCACCAGTAGCAATCAGGACGGAAATTTTCGTCAGCTGTAGCCTGGAAGTAAAGCAATCGTCAGTTTCTTTTGAGGTTGCTCTGTCTTCTGATTGTTTGCCTGGGTATGAATATTGCCTTGTGATTTTCACGTTGCTACGTAGAAGATCTGAAAGGATTCGATCCATCTTTTTCCTTGTGTCTTACTAAAAGAAATTAGCATGCAGTATGCGAAATGTTAAGTTTGCTTATTGCTTCCTGTTTAAAGGAAGTCGACTTGTATGTGTGACTTTTGTGTTACTAACTTACTATGCTTAAAAACCAAAATGATCTTTCTGGCTTAGGCTTAGGCTGAATTGCAGAGCTCTAGCACATGAGGTAGCTGGCAGAGCTCATGTCCGAATTAAGAGCGTTAGGTTGATTTAGGTCGTAAAAAGGGGAAGAGAATAACAATTCAACGAACACCTTTGTGTTTCCTTAAGTTTAATTTATGGGTGGTACAATAATGGAAAAAAATGAGTGCAATTGTTAACTGGTCCTATACCAAGTGAATTTTCTGCAACCATATGTTACGTGAACGCAAAATCTAAATCGGGAGGCATCTCGTCTTTGACCTATCACACTACACTAGATTAAGAAGCGACGCCGACCATATGTGAGAGAACTACTACTGTATGTCTACAGACAAGCTGAAGAACTATTTTGCTACAGGTCATGCATGTCTTTTTTTTCTCAACTTACAGAATTTTCTCTTACAATACTTATCCAATTTATGATCCGATTGCATTGTTGTATTCGTTGCAATAAAATATTTTTAATAAGATCTCACATAATTATATTCTGATAAAAATATATATGTGTATTAAATTACTTTTGTCACATATGTAAATATCACTTTTAGATTTGACTAAATTACTTCTTAGATATTTATTAAAAAAATTCAATAAAACCTAAAAGTAATTTACATAAATCATAAAAGCAACTTGTCATGACATTATTCAGAGTGCCAAATTAAAAGCGGGTCGGCTGCTGTATTTTTCTTTTGTTCAAAGCATAGGAATGTTGAGCCTTCAAATTTAAATTAGAAATACAGTGCCGTGATTCTTTGATATATATATAGCCCGAGTTCATATTGCGGCCATAGCTACAACTTATTTTCATTTGACATTCAGCTGCTGTGATGCTGCATGGGTGTATATGTAGATTTCTGCACTCTTGGGCTGTTGGCCTTAGAAGGCAGAGAGCAAGAGAAGTAGAGGTGTGTGTGAGGGATTAATTCCTAGGGCAGTTCTCTTGCTTTTCTCCTTTTCATATGCTCAAGGTAAAGTGATCTGGACATGCTAAGGCCAACAAGTATCAATTTCTATTTTCCTTTTTCCTTAGTAGCTCGAACCATAGGATTGGGAGGCACATGGACTTTCCAGGCCATGAAGCACCTCGCGTAATGTTAGGTTCAAGTGCATGTGCTGCAGGCTAGCTATAGGCAGCAATACAAGGCTAAATCAGAAAGAGCCACGAGAGGATCAGAGGCATGCTCCTCCTGTACTTGCTGTGTTGGTACAACTATGATCTTAATAGCTTTTGTACAACTGGATTGATCATGACGTCTTTTGTATACGAAGATCTGTAAAATCTCTCGATCACTTATTTATGGGATCATGTATGCCTCTCGCTACATAGTACAATTGTAGCAAAGGCCAAGATTCTATTCCATTATCTAAGAAACATTGTACAACTGTACAAGAAGAAAACAAATTGAAAACGGTAGTGCTGTTTTGATGTTTCTAATTGCCAGTGCTAATTATGAACTTGAGAATTATAAGCATCTCTACGTGTGTATCATTGTCTTCCATTCTTTTTTTCCCCATAAAAAAACATGAAAAGAATATCTGGCATTCATTACATAAAATAGAGAGCACATGCGCTATAATTATTCCTCTTAACCTGGGTAGTAGGTAAATAGCGTTAATACCACCAGGCCATTTGCCCATTTACCTTTTTCTTTTCTCTCGTGAGCTTTCAGCTGCTAGGATCAAAAACATTTGCCCATTTTTGCCCACTTGCCCACTATATATATTCAGCTGCTAGGATAAAAAACATGAGAGATACACTGAATGGCATCAAACAAATAATTAATAAGGCCTAATTTGCTGCCCATTTACCATTCGTGATTGAATCAATGCCGCTTATATATGGATTCCTTCCTTGAGATTAGCTGAATTATTGTGGGATTGGGAGGCACCAGGATGTTCACTGCTTAGGGTACCGGCTTGAGGCCGAAGCGGCAACAGATATGTTTCATGTTGAGCTGCTCTGCTGGGATATGAAAGATAGGTCTATTCAGCTGTGTGTGACCGTCCTGGCTTGTGTTGAGCTCGGATGTGCTCAGCCTGGCCAGATCTAGTGTTTTGGTGAGCTGTGAGTACCTTTCTAGCAATCTATGCCGCACCACGCGATATGTTTGTGCATGCGCCTTCACTACTCCGTGCCAATTTACTATTTTATAGTTCGTGTATAAATTAGAATAACCTATATTATCACATGTGTAGTTTTAGGCCTTGTTCGGTTAATCACTCTCCGACATAACTGAGGGGATTTAGATGGGATTAACTGAGGGGAGTTTTTCAATCCTTTTCTCATAAAGATTAACTGAATAATTAAGCCATAAGGAGAAAGGGTCGTAAATCAATTTGCATTGGCCTCCAATTTGCTCTACCATAGATGCAGAGATAAGCGGGGGATGATAAATTGCCCTATGTACTATAGTAGCTAGGGGTTAAAACTCCAAGGCTAAGCTATTTAATCATTTATAGGATTTGAGGTGTTTATACTTCACATGAAGAAACTATAACTCGTACGCGAGAGAGATATTCATGTAAATTCTTAAGAGAATCATGGCTCCGGCTGCCTGGTAATAAGACTAAAGTTATAGAACTGGCAGATAATGTGATCTTATGATATGCTGTTTTTGAACCCTGTATTAGCTTTGATTTTTTTTATTTTTTGAACTTTTTTATTTTTTAATTTTAATAATAAACTCATCTGAATTTTTTGGCCACACCAGCCTGCCTGACATAACAAAACAACACTGACACGCTACATAGTGCGGACGTGACAGTTTTATCTTGTCACACTAACCAAGGTGAGTATTATGATCATTCATTTACCTTGGCTCGTATCTACTGAGCATAACCATCATCACTAGCTCATTTTTGGATGTGGATTGAACTTTGACTACGTATTTCGCTCACCAAAACACCATGCATACGTACTCGGGGTGTAACCTACCCCCTCCATCCCAAAAAGAGTCTAATCCTAGCTACAAACCTGGATACATGCGTGTTCAAATTCGTAGCTAGAGTTTGTCTTTTTAGGGGACAGAGTAGTAGCTCATTTCAGAATTCCTGCATCATCTATGCAACTTACACTCATTCTGTTGCAAAACAAAGCTGCCGAGCTACAGGCTGCCAAAGACAACTACTCTATCTATCTCATTTTAAGTATAATTATGAGTTTTTTTTTCAACGTTTGACCATCCGTCTTATTTGATTTTTTATGATTAGTATTTTTTATTGTTTGTGTGACTTATTTTTTTAATTTTTTCGTAAGTTTTCCAAATAAGACGAAAGGTTAAACGTTGAACACAGAAACTCTCACAACTATACTTAAAATGGGACGAAAGGAGTAACATAGCATGAATTGTGTCAATCATTTAGTATGCTAGGCATCCTCGCCCAGTTGTTGAATCCATGAGCTGATCGATCCACGGCAAAGGGAAATCGTCCTTTGGACATGCTTTGTTCAGGTCCGTGAAATCTACACACATGCGTCATTTGCCGTTTGACTTCCGCACCAGTACTGGGTTCGCCAGCCACTCTGGGTGGTCGATCTCTTGAATAACCCCAGCCCTGAGTAGTTTTTGGACTACGGCTTTTGCTGCCTATTGACGATCGGCGGACATCTTACGCAACTTCTGCTTTCTTGGCTTGGCATCCGGCTTGACTGCCAGGTGATGCATGATGAGGTCTGCCGAAACACCCCCCCACTTCATCGGAGCTCCAGGCGAAAATATCAATGTTCTTTTTGAGCACCGCTAGGATGCCCTCAGCTTCTTGTTCGCCCATGCCGTCCCCCAGTGATACGAGCTTTGCGGGGTCGGCATGGTCAATCTGCACTTTTACTATTTTGTCATGCGGGGTTGGCTTTGGCACGTGTTTCGGCCGGCTGTGCAATTCGGCTTCGACATTGTGCACAGCCCTGTTGATTATGGCTAGATCGCCTTTTGACGCGGCCGAAGACTGAAGCCCCTTAACCACTATCACTCCCGCTGGGCCGGGCATCTTGAGCTTGAGATAGTTGTGGTGGGAAATGGCTTCGAACTTGTTCAGGGTCGCACGGCCGAGGATGGCATTGTAGTTGTACGGGATGTCAACGACGTCGAACAGTACTTGCTCTTCGCGTCTGTTTTCTCCCGAGCCGAAAGCTATCAGCAAAAGTGCTTGGCCAAGAACTTGAACTGCCTCTCCGCCGAACCCCCGGATCGACGCTGGTGCTGGTGTAAGAGCTTGGGTTGGCAACCCCATCTTAGCATATGCTTCGACGAAGATAACGTCGGCCGAACTCCCTCCATCGACCAGGATTCGCCAGACTTCAAAGCCGGCTATCTCAGCTGAGATTACCAGCGGATCTTGATGCGGGAACATGACTCCTTCGGCGTCTTCCGGCCCGAAAGAGATCAGCTGGTTCACATACTGTGGCGCCCTCTTACCCGCCGAAGTGATGCTGTGGACCGCTCGGATGTGCATCTTTTTCTGCCTTTTGGATAATTGGCCTGGCGGGTCAGCCCTCGTAATCACTTGGATTACCCTTCGCTGCGCGTCTTGACGTTGTTCGACCGGGGGTGTTTGTTCTTGGGCTGCTTCGCGAGGTGCTTCTATAGTTGTTCCTTGCTGTGATCTAGTATCTTGCGCGTTGCCACGTTGCCTGATGTTTTGGCATTGCTCTGTGGTATGCGAAGAGCGTCCGTGAAAGGCACAGTAAAGGTCTTTTCGAACCTTTTTACGAACCGGCTGTTGATGGTTGCTCGCTTGCTGGGCGTCGAACTCCTTGCGGAGGGCTTGCACTTCTTCGACGGCCATCACAGCCTTGCCCGCGCGGTCGGTTCTGAACTTTCTCCAGGTCATGGGAGCTTGACCTTGCCTTGGCGGCTGTCCTTGGATCGCCGTTTAAGGCTGGCGAACCGCGAGGGGAGGTGGTTCAGCAACTTTAACTTGTGCTTGAGCTTGAGCAGCGGCAATAGAAGCTTTATCGTACTCAGTTTGTATGGCTTGCCGTCGCTTGGAATCCTCTTCGCTCTTTGCGAAACCGTCAATGATGCGAACCAAGTGCTCGAGTGTTTGTGGTTCCTTGTTGGCGATTTTCCTTGTGAGTTCGCCTTCGAGCAGACCAGCCGAAGCAGCATTTATGACTGATGCCTCGGTTATGTCTTCAACTTGGCACCGGGCTTGCGAGAAGCGACGCATGTATTCTCTTATCGACTCTCCCGGCCTTTGGCGAATGCCGAGCAGATGTTGCTGCGTCTTCGGCTCCTCGTAAGTGCCTCGAAAGTTAAGAACAAAAACATCGCGCAATTGCTCCCATGAGTAAATGCTATTGGCTGGCAAATTGAAATACCAAGAACGGGCAATGCCGTCAAGAGCGAGATGAATTACCTTTGCCTTGGTATTTTCGTCACCATGAGCCGCTTCAATCGCGGACTCGTAGATGGATAGGAACTCCTTCGGGTCAGTTTCGCCCGAGTAGCGTGGGACGGGAAGGAATTTGAACTGGGGCGGAATTGGGCGATTCTTGATTCCCCCACTCAGCGGCAGACCCTTTTCGCCTCCCGCTCTGCCTGCGGTGCCTTGCTGTGGGTACGGCGTGGCGAAAGGTGAAATTACGGCTTGCGCATGATTTTGAGCCATGGCGTTTGGCTGCCTAGCTCCGACTGGTGATGCTTGCTGAGCCGCCATGGATGGGTCGAAAACTAGCTGCGACCACGTCATGGCGACCTGGGATGGTGCTTGGCTTGTTCCGAAGCCTGGTGTTGGTGCTTGCGACCGAACGGTTTGCGCCTGAGCGGTATTGGTAAAGTCGCACTGAGGTACCTGACTCCACGGCGAAGTCCCCAGATTCGGCTGGTTCGGCGGCAACCAACTGAGCGCACCTTGACTTGAATTCCCCTCTGGACGAGTTGAGGGAGCTGTATTCGAAATGTTGTGGGGCTGATTGATTTGCTGGAGGAAAGCTTGGAATTGTGCCTGCAGAGCCGAAGCCCCTTCTGCTACGGCTTGCGACAGCTGGCCAAGTGGCTGAGGCTGTACTTGGGTCGCGGCTTGGGGCACTGCTGCCACTGTCGGCTGTCCGACAAAGTACATTGGTGCCTGCAAGACTTGCGGCGGAGCGGGCTTGGGCTGCACTTGCGGATAGACTTGAGGTGGGACAAAACCTGCCGAATACTGGAGGATCGGTGCCGAAGCAACCTTGGATCGCCTTGCCGCTTCGTACGCTTGTTGCTGTTCTTGCATTTGGCGAAGCATGTCTTGGAGTCATGCCATGTTTTGCCGCATGGCCTCCATATCGGCTTCGGCTTGTGTTTCAGGGTCGGAGTTGACTTGGACTTGCATGGCAGGGAGCGCAGCTTGGGCCGCTGCTGGCTGCGACGGAGCAGCTTGGGGGACCAGCAGCTGACTTGTCGAAAGGATCTCCGCCCTGGTCTGAAGTGCCCTCGCCACTGCGGTCGCCTTCGCCACGTCATTCACACTCGGCGCCTGCTCAGAGGTGGCACGGGCCGAAGGCAGCAGTGATGGTGCCGGCGCCGAAGCGGACGGTGCCAGCGCCGAAGGAGACGGTGCCGTCGCCAAAGCGGACGGTGCCCCTCCAACCTCGGCGACCGACGCCGAAGGCTCCGCTCCTTCTTCGGCGGCCATGCCCACTCCGGTGTCGCTTTCCTTTCGCCTTGTAACCTTCTCCTTCGCGACCTTCTTCGGTGGCATTCGCTCTCAGTGGTTTCGCTCGGAGGTCCCCACGGTCGGCGCCAGCTGTTGTCGAAACGACAACCGCATACGTCGAAAGACGTCGTTACTCAACAATGGTTGGGAAAGAAACGAAGTGTATTAAATTTTGAATTTTTCTTGGGATCCCCCATTACATGGCCCTAGGGGACTATTTATAGCCCCATTACAGGTTCTTACTACTAGGATTTAGGTTATACGGGGGAATTTACATGGTTGCCCTTATGAAAGGGACGTTTATAGGGTTACATAATGTCAAGAGGACTTATGGGCCCTTGATGGGCCGTCAGGCGACCGTCGGCCCTATAGCCCCTAAGCTTGATGGGCCGAAAAGGCTTCTTCGGCCTTTGCGGGGGCGAACTGGACATGGTGAAGCCGTCCTTCTTCGAGCTGGATGCCAGGGCGAACTGGACATGGCGAAGCCGTCCTTCTTCGCTGGATGCCAGGGCAAACTGGCTATGGCGAAGTCGTCCTTCTTCGGCAGGTACTCACGCGACCCTTCGCCTCGCATCATCCTTGGTTCATAGCCTTCGCCACGGGTTTCGGCAAATTTGGTCGAAGGGCCTCATGCCATCCGCCAACACAGTTCATCAGATTTTTATATGCCAATCAAAAACTAAAACCTGACAACCAAAGAATGTAGACTGAACAAAGTAAGGTTATCTCTATCTTGTAGCAAAAGGGGCAAAACAACATCTTAAACAGTAAACCAGAACTAGCTTGCCATAACACGCAACTGATGCTAAACAAATTTTCTAGATTAATTCAGTGGGATTAGTTTAATTCAATTATACATATCTAGTAGGAGTAGGAAAAAGCTCACTTACGCACTCACAAGTCTCCAACAAGCAGTTACCGACAAGGATAATGAACTACACGCTTCAGCAGGAAAACAGAAACCCGCTGAAGCTTCTTTTTAGGCATGTTGAAGCTAATGTCAATACTAACACGAAGATAGTGTGATGCGTCAATAAGTTACTAGTGACACAGTCAGTTGTAAACTACTAGAATGGCGAAGGCAACCTGTTTCACCAAGTCACATTCAAGGGTGTTCGTTGTCAACATACTTTACAGTTCATCCAATTTTTACATGCCAATTGAAGATTAGAACTGACAACTAAAGAATGTAGATCGGACAAAGTAAAGTTATACTCGTATTTATCTTGCTACTACAAAAGGAAAAGAAAAGGCATCTTAAATAGCCAAACAATCATACGCACATTCATCCTACATGGAGGGAAGGAACCAATTGAAGTTAAAACAACATGCATCCATCAAGCCAAGAAACTAGCATGACCCAACCTAAGTAGAGTGAATCAGGAAGACTATACACATAGATCAAAGAGAACGGATCTGGAGGGCATACCTGGATGTTCATGGCCTTCTTGTTGGTCTCAAGCTGGCTCCCTGCACAAGCACAGAAGGAACCACAGATCCATCAAAATCAACGCCTTCCAGGAAGAACAGGCATGGCAAGAAAGAACAGCAACAGGGAGAGATCGAGCGAGGGAGGGGGGGGGCAAGCGAACCCTTGGCGCCCTTGGCCTTCTCCATGTTGCGCTCGCGGGCCATCCTGGACTTCTGCCCGTTGCCGCCGCCCATCGTGGATGGATCCGGCGCTGGCGATGATGGTGTGAAAGAGGCGTGTGCTCCGCCCGGCGCCGGCCGCCCTCGCGCCCGCTGTGCTCGTCGGTTTGTGGTTCACGGCCTTGGGAGGATTGGGGGATGGCAGACCTCTAAAGGTGGGGGACGCGGAGTGAAAGAAATAGCGTTTTTAATGCGGGTGCGGATGCCTTGTTTTCGGGGTTGTCGAAGGAACTGGGCCGTCTATGGGTGTGTTTTTCACGTTAAAATTAGAAGTTTAGTTGAAATTGAAACGATATAATGAAAAAGTTAAAAGTTTATATGTGTAGGAAAGTTTTGATGTGTTGAAAAAGTTAAAAGTTTAAAGAAAAAGTTTAAACAAGGCATATCTTACTCCCTGTGAAAAAGATAAAGTAGGAGCATACACTGCTCTTTAATGAAAAAGAAGGGCCCCATCTTTTTTATCAAAAATTGCTGAAAATACGCCGTATGACGTATTAAAAAAATAATTTATGAGTAGAATTTTTATATATATGTTTGTAGGGATTTAAATACCAATGTTAAAAGATAAACTTTGAGAAAAATACTTTAAAATTAGGTTTTAAAATTATTCAAATTTTGGCAGCAACTGATTTTGTACAGTGAAGACGATGAGGGTCAAAGAGCAAATTAAATTTCACAACAATACAACTGCTTTGATCAAATTAATGCAAAATTAAATATTAGGGCACCTTTATAACGCAAGACTTTTATATACAATGATAGGAAAAATGTACGATTTGAGTGCCATATCACCTAAAATCCTATGGATAGAAAAAAATAAAAATTGCATGAATGATCTTTTAGATGAAGCATAAAAAAACGTAGGAGTTAGAAGAGAGATTGACACAGATGAATATTTCCAAGAGGTAAAACCTCATATTGAGAACCATTCTTTTTTTTTTTGGTTAAGGCAATCCTAAGAAATTTCAATAGAATTATTAGTGGTTGGATCTACCTCATGGACAGGAACAATTCCACCGGTCTGACCGGCCCAAGGCCCGATCTAACCGGTCATCAGAGGTGTGGTCTGACCGGCGAGAGAGCCACTGGTCAGACCGTGCAACTAGGCGGTCGGACATGCATGATGTCCGGGTAGATCGGCCGCAGCGCTAGAATCTTCACTCCCGGCATGTTGCATGGTCGCCCATCGATTTTGCTAATATGTGATGAATAGGAGCTTGGCTAGTACTCGCAACAGAAGTAGACGGCAAATTGATCGCATGAGAACCGAATTTGGAATTCATAAAAGATACAATCCTCTTATCAAAATAAGAAGTCATAGTATGCTCAAGCTTATTGTTAAAAGTAGCATTAACGATTTTATCTACGGAACTTGCTACAAGCTTTTGAATCGGAAGAATAATATCATCACCGCTTACCTCATGACAGTGACTTTTGGTGTAGAACCGGGCTTACCAACAACTCCTTGACGAGTATTGATGAAGCATCCCGCCAAAAGTGCCTCTTGTGTCGCCTTTAGATGTTGTTCAATCTCCCGTCTTTGCTCCTCATACAAATCCTCCAATGAGATGGGGAGGATATTGGTAGGATCATCTCCAGCTTGGTCATAATGTTGATGAAGATGTCCCCAGCGGAGTTATCAAAAATCGTGTTGGCAACTTCTTTTTGATAAGTAGACAAGCACGATCGGACACCTAAACGCCTTACGATGATTATAGAGTCACCAACCACTTGACCGGTCACATGCCGCCGGTCAAACCGACCCTCAAGCAACAGTCTGACCGGCCAACAAACGGTGGTCAGACCGGCCCTGTGCAGAAAACCCGTGATTTTTTCAAATCTTGACAATTTCTTTAATTTAAATCTACGTGCCAAATTTAAGTGTAACCAATCTACCAAAGCTTCATTCTAATCTAACATTAAAAGCAATTCAGAATTTCGTTTTTCTTCCATACACTCGACAGTTGAACGCTTGCGCGCCATAACCCACGCAGCCGAGAGCCCGAGATATTTACCTGGAGGCTGGCTGGCGCAGTAACCGGTAGTAACTATATTTGGCTTTGCCACATGCGCGCCATGCGCCGGCTCGCGCTCGACCGAGCCGGCAATGTGCCACGCCCCCGCCCGCCACGCGTTGGCAGCCTCTTCCGGACCAGACCATATGCCCACCCGCTTGCCACAGTCCACAGCCACACAAATCCGTCGCCCGTGTGCCACGGTGCCACCAGCGCCACGTAAAAGATGCAAGGCGCCTATGAGGCTACGAGACGAGCTGCCGCCCCCACCGGTAAACCGTGCAGGATAACACGTACGTGACCGGTAGTAATACACATATACACACCGGGCCACCGGCCGGTAGGGAGTTCTCGCGGTTTTGTCGTTCGATCGATCGATCGTGTCCATGCTGCTCCGGCTGAAGGCCGTCGCCGTCCATCCGGCGGCGCTCCTTGGGCGACCGCGCAGCCATGACGCACCCCAGCTCGTCGGTCGCACGGGCGCGTCGACGACGACGGCGAGGCGGAGGGCGGCGAGGAGCGCCGTGACGGTGACGATGGCGCTCAAGGAGGAGCCGGAAGGCAGCCGTAGCGGCTTCGCCGGCGGCGTTCCGAGCTGGGACCCCGGGCTGGAGATCCAAGTCCCTTTCGAGCAAAGACCGGTACTACTTCACTTGTATTCAGTTAACGGGATAACATAGTACTGTGCTTTTGCAATCGATTCAGTAGATTGCTGAGCATAGTACCTACTTCACTATATATCAGCAATCGATTAAGGATTACAACCTATAAGGATGAGCAGTGGATTAATTAGTAGATTGACCTGTTAATCCGGTGATGGTTGTGCAGGTGAACGAGTACTCCGCCCTCAAGGATAGCGTACTCTACTCGTGGGCAGAGCTGAGCCCGGGGTCATTCTTCCTGCGCCTAGGCAGCCTGTGGCTGATCACCTTCACGGTGCTCGCCGCGCCCATTGCAGCTGCAAGTTTCAGTCCAGGAAAGGTATGCCAACTCATCATCTTCAGATATGTACTTTCACCTTCAGAATAGAACCCCCCCCCCCCCCCTTTTTTTTTGACTGCAAGAATAGAACACAGTTGTAACAGAAAATAAAACATCCTACCAAAATGAGATCATTTGAGTCAAGATGATACTGTGACCGTGTATCTGTCCTTACAATTAATACTAGTAACTTGGAAATTTCGTCCTGCAGGATCCACTCAAATTCGTGCTAGCAGCTGGGATTGGAACTCTGCTCCTCGTCTCTTTGGTCGTTCTCCGGATTTATCTGGTAAGCTCGGCAAACGCTTTAAGAGAATCCTGGAACGTTAACTTGATGCCTAACTAATTGACAAATAGTACATATCCCAGGTTACCTCTCATCAGCTTAAAAATGAAACGAAAGCAGGAAATGGTCAAGAAATTTGAACAAACATTCCAGAAGGATTAATTAGTTTTCTGATCAGTGCTGATAACGTAACAGGGTTGGAGCTACGTTGGTGATAGGCTGTTGTCGGCGGTTGTGCCGTACGAAGAAACCGGATGGTACGACGGCCAAATGTGGGTCAAGCCACCAGAGGTAAATTACTAAAGGAAATTAAGCAAGGATTGGATTTGTTTAGAAAATATGGACCCTCTGCATTCTTTATCTGTACCTTCATGAAAACCTGCAACTGCAATGTTCACATTAGCACATCCCTTTCTCTTTTTATAAATTTTTCAGGTATTGGCTCGTGACAGGCTCTTGGGATCTTACAAGGTACTAGCAATCGTCTAGTTGTTGTTCAGCGTGATCTGGGAATGCCTCGCCAACAGTAAAAACTACATAAGCTGTAATTGATATCTAATGTTGAATTCTTCAGGTAAAGCCGGTGATTAACCTGCTGAAGCAGACGCTGGTGGGCACCGGCGCTCTGCTGGTCGGCGCGGTGTCGCTGTTCGCGTTCGCGGCCCCCGTCGAGGACTTCCTGCACTCCGTGAACGCACCACCATCCGCTGCCTCCTCCAAGCCCAGTCTCAGGTGCCTTCCCGCGCATTTCACTTATCGATCGTTTGCTGCGCCCATTTTCTCACCTACGACCTGCGCATGCAGAAGGGAGGAGCTGCTGCGTCTGCCCGTGGAGGTGAGGCAAGACGACGACCTCGCCGCTGCCGCCGCGGAGGCCGCCGACGGACGGCCGGTCTACTGCAGGGACCGCTACTACCGGGCGCTCGCCGGCGGGCAGTACTGCAAGTGGGACGACCTGCTCAACTGACAAAATACTTCTGTATTACCCAACGGATACGGTGTGCAGTGTGTCCTGAATCCTGATATATGCAGATTGGCATGCGAAGCCTCCGCAACTGTGTAATCGGAACGAAATTTTGTGACCATTGGTTGCGTTAATGGGACAGATAGATAAATGCTTAATTTATTGGATGCTTGATCGACGCAACATTTGCAAAAAAGAGAAAAAAAAAGCTGAAACATTACTAATTTGCTGAAACATTAACATGCACCTAAAAATGAAAAGCTATAATATAGAGCTACTACTAATCAACACACAAGGTTGATTCTTAACAATCTCCTCCTAAGCCTTGTTGTGCTCACTACTGATGTTGATGAGGCCGATCTTTGAGCACAGCTCATGGAACTTGGTCTTGCCCAGCGGCTTTGTCAGAATGTCGCCCAGCTGTTCCTCGCTCTTGATGAACTCCACATTGATCAGGCCATTTTCCGCAGCCTCCCAGACTAGATGATTCTTCACTTGAATGTGCTTACTCTGTCCATGGAGTAATGGATTTTTGGTCAAGGAAATGGAAGACCTGTTGTCCACCCTCAGCATCGGTGTTCTCAGTGCCGATCCCTGCACTTCTACCAGAAAACGAGCAAGCCACAATGCCTGACAAGCAGCATTTGCAACTGCGATGTTTCTACCTCACAGCTAGCTTGACTGTGCCCGCACCTTCTGCTTCATAGATTGCCAGGTGATTGGGCTGCTGCCGAGTAAGAAAATCACCCCTGTCGTGCTCTTCCTAGCATCGACATCACCAGCGTAATCGCTGTCACTGAACCCTCAGGTGCGCCTCCTTCTCAACCTTCCTGCTGAACCAAACTCCCCAATTTTTGCTTCCTGCCACGTAGCGCAGGATGTGCTTCACAACAGCGAGATGGTCCTCTCGTGGATCTTCCAAGAATCGGCTAACATACCCAACAGCAAAAGCGAGATCAGGACGGGTGTTAACCAGGTACCTCAGGCTCTCACCGATGCTTCTATATATCGTCGCGTCGACCGACGGCTCCGAGCTGAACTTGCTCAGCTTCAGCCGTGCCTCCATGGGCACTTGACATGGATTGCACCCTTCCATGCCGCTCTTCTCCGGGATCTTGGCAGCATCAACTCCTTGGCTGAGCGAAATTCCACTCGTGCTCTGCTTCACCTCAATGCCGAGGTAGTAGTGCAGTAGGCCGAGATCGCTCGTCTTGAATGCAGCAGCCATCTTCTTCTTGAACAGCCTGATGTCGTCGCAGTTGGAGCCGGTGATCACGAGGTCATCGACGTAGACCCCGACCACCAGTTGCGCGTTGCTGTTCCGCCTGACATAGACGACGTGCTCCGATGAACTCCTCTTGAAACCGAGCGACGGCAGCAGGACGTCTAGATTCACGTTCCAGGTGCGCGGTGCTTGATGCAGCTCGTACAACGCCATCCGCAGCTTGAGCACCTTGTGCTCCTTGCCGGTGATGACAAACCCGGCCTACTGCTCTACATTGACCTCTTCCTATAGGTCCCCATTGAGGAACGCCGACTTGACGTCCATTTTGGTGAATCTCCCACCCCTCGTGCACCGCGAGGGCGATGAGCATGCGCACCGAGTCCAGCCGTGCCACCAGAGCAAACAACTCGTCGTAGTCGATGCCTTGCCGTTGCGTGTATCCCTTCACCACGAGATGCACCTTGTGCTTGGACACCGGCCTTTGCTTGTCCCTCTTCTCCTTGAGCACCCATTTCAGCCCGATCGCATGGCGACCAGGTGGAAGATCAGCCAACGACCAAGTCTTGTTGTATTCAATCGCTTCCATTTCCGCCGTCATCGCCTCCCTCCATCTCGGGCTGCACTCTGCCTCGTCGAATGAGGCAGGCTCATTGGAGCTCACTGCGTACAGCTCCTCCACCACCAGTGCGCGAAGCTACGTGGCGAAGCTGGCCCGATGATGTCATTGATGCTGCGGAACCAGAGTGGGGCGTCGTTATCGTGGTCGGCATCCAAGTTGTCATCGTCGCTGCATGGTGGTGAGCCGGGTTCCAGCTCTGTGCCGCCATCCCCACTGAGATGTAGCAATTGCTCGCCTGATGCTGGCTCCTCGCCGCCAGCCCCACCGGAATGCGGCAACTTCTCCCTTGGCTCTGCAGTGGCACCATCAATCACTGAGGCTGTCAGGTCCATAGTGGAGTACTCCACCGTGAAGACGTCGTCACCACCGCCCGGCTCTCCATCATAATTAATTTGACTCCTGGTTTGGAATGGTACATTCCTGGTTTGGAGGTTTGATCTGTACGACCGGGGTTGATTGTTCAGGTTTGGTTGGGCCTGTGCAGCATTGGAGTACTATTTAGTGTTGATTCAAATTGATGATTAATTACTCTACTGTTTTACAATTCTTAAATGTTTGCTAAATGCTGCTTTTGCAAATGAGCCCTATATTATGCTATCCCTTTGTATCCTTGTGCACTTGCATATTTGCTGTGTGGCTTGCGGAGTATTCCATGTACTCACCTTACAATATTCAACTAAACCTCAGTTGAAGAAAAGTTGCGAAGAAGAAGACGTTTGGCTTATACCCCAGTTGAGCTGCCTGTGGGAGTGGAGCCTGAAGTTTCGCTAGATTTTCTTTTCCGCTGCAATTTTCTTCATAGTGAGGACTAAGTGCCTCTTCAGTAAGTATTTATCGCTTTAGTTATTTTGATGAATCAATATATTAAATTGTCAGTTTGTGTACCTCGGCTGATTCCTGGAGGAGGATTTTATGCACAAATTAGTTCGGAAATTACTAATGAATTTCCGGGCATAACAAGTTCCTTGACGGTGTGCCAGAGTGCCCTCGCCTTCAACTTCACCTTTATCAGGAGCGCCCAATTGGAGTAATTGGTCTTAGTGAGAACGGGTAGATACTCCCGCCCACCTCGAATGACCCGCTGGATCACAACGCCTTCTTTGGAGATGCCGTCGATCGGCTTCTTGTCATCACCCATCAGTGCAACACCTGGTTTGTAACCGGATGCTCTGATACCACTTGTCAGAATCACGCCGGAGAGAGGACGTAAACCACGTCCCGGCGAGATCACGGCCAACACAGACACAACACAAGAAAACTCACGCGAACAGAAGAACACGGCTCGTTTGGTGCTGCTGAATTGACAGCTTTTCCAGACTATATTCCATTGCTTAAAATAAGCTGTTACAAGGAAAGCAGACATAGCCTCCAATCAGGCCGACACATGCAAACATGCACCTAAAAATGAACAGCTAACCATATAGAGCTACTACTAATCAGCACACAAGGTTTATTCTTAACAAACACATTTAACATTTTTCGATAATAATCCTTCCTCCACATTACATTGAACTGGATAATATATAGGAGGCGCAGTATTTTCCAGCATCCATGATTAATTGGGTTCCATAGAGATCTTCTAGTTGCCTGCGTAACTTTCACAAGCTATATCTTAAGGCTCTCCAGAAATCGTGTCCCCTCAGAAAGCGCCACAAAGTTTCCCTTGATATACTCAATTCTTTCTATGGACTTGTAGCGTGCCTCTGCTCCGTTGAGCTTGAGCACCTCCGGGATCGGCTTCACCATTCCATCGACATAGGCTTCATGAAATGTCACGATGGTGGTTCGGCCTTTCTCTGCGTCCGCGAGTACTCTGTGCTCGACGCTCTTGTACGCGCCATTGGTAAGGACCTCGAGTATGTCGGCGACATTGATGATGAAGGTGCCCGGGCGAGGTCGCACTGGTAACCACCTGCCATCCTTCCTGATCTGCAGGCCGGGCGTGTCGTCGAGCTGCAGCAGCAGCGTCAGGCCGAGACCATCGGAGTGCGGCGTGATGCCGATCACCTTGTCTGGGTGGCGGCAAGGAGGGTAGTGGTGTATGGCCATGCTCTGCTGTTTATCCCTAAAGGCGCCAACCAAAGCCTCCTGGTCGACCCCGAGGTCGGTAGCCATGATGCTCGCAATCCTCATAGCCAGCTTCGTCATCTCGGCGGAGTACTTGTCAAGTGCATCCCTATGTATATCAATTCATATGCAATCAATTAAAATAGGAAAACTCTATGTTTAAGCCCTAGCGACGAACAAGTGGTTTTGCTCAGCATCTCACAGAAGAGAATTCTAAAATTTCAAACAGTTATTAGAAAAATTTAAACAACAATTGTAGATACCATATATTGTAAAATAAATGGGACTGAGAGACAATTATTTATGTAGGATGTATGTATGCAAAATTAATTGACAGGGGAAACAGAACCTGAACGACGATGGGTTTGTAGGCCACATTTCCGGGTTTCTCTCTTGGATTGGCTGCGTAAGGAGGATCACGCTCTCCGCCCAGTCCAGCTTACCTGATGCCCTTCTGTAATGGTGGCCAAACCCTTCAAAGCCATTGTCTTGGATTTCCACTGTCCTTTTGCTTTCTAGTGGCAAGCTGAAGAATTTGACCGTGCTGTCTTTCATTTCATTCACCACTTGTTCGTCGACTCCATGGTTTACTAACTGAAATCGTGATATGCAATTATATATATAAAAACAATATTATGCATCCATCAGTATATACTATATAAGTACAGATATGATTAATTATCAAGTGATAGACTATTAGGCCTCACCTGAAAGAAACCCCAATCTTGACATGCAGAACCAAGCTTTGCAATCTCTGCCTCCGCAAGCTCCGGGTCAAGCAGCTTCTCCATGTCCACCACCGGCAGCTCGTAGGCCTCGTCATCGTCATGGCCAACGACGATGCCGTCATGGACCTCATCAGGTCGGCAATACCTCTCGGGGATCACCTCGGATTCCGCGAACGCGGCGGCGACTTCTTCGGTGATGGCATCTCTGTTGACCGGTATGTTGATGGATGGATCCATATTACTTCCGTGCCTACTACTACCCGCAGGCTCACGATCGATCATCGGGGGCAGCTTATTGATGCAGAGCGGTAGATCTTTTGGCCCCAACAATGGCCTCTTCACTTCATAGCACAGTATCCAGACTAACTATACGTATATATAGTACAATAAGCTAGCTACGGTTCGTCAACATCCCGATCATTAGATCTCCTCCCACGCGGCGCCCAGGTAATGATGTAAAAGCATTATTGCTCTTCTGGAAGATGTGTTTGTTGTACCCACCGGCCTCTATCTCAACTGTTGTTCTGTTCCCTCGTATTACAAATATTGGTAATGTTCTTTTTTAGAATTTTGGCGCACTTGTTTTACTAGCTATTTTCTTTTGACAATTAACTGTTTCTTTCTCGAAGTATAGTACAACTACATTATTTATTATTTATTATTGATATACGTATATGAAATGCTAGTTCTTCCTTTATTTGCTATGATACTTGGCAGTTGAAATTAGTACTTAATAACCGTAAACAACAACCTTCTAGTCTAGTCTCCACCAGGACTGTCCTGAGACCGTCACACGAACCCCTTCCCATGCTCAACTGAATGGGTTATTATTTGGTTCAGGGTTTAGTGCAGAGAATTCAACGAGAATTTAGAGTATTTACCATCAAATTCGCGTGCCTCAACTTTTTTACCACTCAATTTGCATGCCCTCTATAATATATTATTAGGAGTGCTAATTTATCTATTTGATACCACTTTTACTGTTTTTCATGTATTTCTCATTTCTTAATTCCATTTATATGTTCTTTACAGGTTTGTGGGCATTTCTACCCCTAGGCCCACATTTCAGATCCGCCGAGCGCCATTACCTCAGCACCAAGCGCCGCTGCAGATCGCCGCCGCCGCCAGGGTGCGCAAGCTCGCCGCCCCCGAGCACCGCCCCAACCGCCGAGCGCTGCCGCCGCCGCGGCTGACTCGACGCCCCACCGTCCCCACCCCCGAGCGCCGGCGGCGCCACTGTGCGCCACCACCCCCGCCGCCCCAGCTCGACGGCACCACCGCCTCCACCGGCGAACGCCGCCCCTGTGCGCCCCCCCGCTGCCGATGGTCTGCAAAGAGTAAGTAGCTTTCCGATTCCTTTTACAGGCAACAACTGGAAGATGGAGGCGATGAGCAGAGCAGTCCCCAGTAGCAAAGCAGCAACTGGAAGATAAGATGGTGGCAAAGCTGCTGTTTTTCTTTTTCTTCAGTTTTTCAATTGCTCCCAAAATCAATTTGAAGATCATATGGTTGCAGAAGGAATTGATTGAGGCCATTTTTGCTCATTTGCAACGCCTGATTCCGTAACAGACATGTATATTGTAGCAAATTATTGTAAACTGTAGACGCCTGACCGGTAATAAATTGTTACGCCTGAGCGTAATAGACATGTATATGCTGTCGACCTGGGGGCTGGGGCGGCGAGCTTGCTCACCCTGGCGGCGGCGGCGTTCTGCGGCGCCGCTTGGCTGCGGGGTGGTGGGGCGCCACCGCTCGGGGGCAGAGAGCTGGGGCGAGTGCGAGTGGCGGCAGTGGCGATCTGCGGTGGCGCTTGGTGGTGGGGTAGGGGCGCTGCGCGGCGGGGTGGTCGCGGTCGACGGCGCCGATGCCGGTAGGGGGGCGCTTGCCTGGAGGGATCGTTCGATCCAGAGAGAAATATCTCTCGTTGGATCTGACAGCTGGGTCCAGGGGTAGAAAATATCCACAAACCAGTAAAATAATATACAAATAAAATTAAGAAATGAGAAATGCATAAAAAACAGAGAAAATGGTACTAAATAGACAAATTAGCACTCCTAATGATATATTATAGAGGGTATACGAATTGAGTGGTAAAAAAGTTGAGACACGCAAATTTGATGGTAAATACTCTAAATACCCTCTTCGGTGCGTTAGGGGCTATCTCCAATTCAATTTTAAACTTAGAATTATGGATTACAAAATTAACTCTATCTCTTTATTCGATTCTTATTAGGAATGGATTAATAGGATTTATCCCTTCCTTAATTAATCGGCATTTAGCTGATAAAAATCAACCAATAGAAGGATGCAATATATTTTTATTTGATAAAATTGTAGACTAAAAATCAACGGTTTGGATGTGTCCTAGGCTGTTACCTCTCTAGAGATAAGATGGAGCACTCTAAAAGACTTCATATTTTTCTTCTTTTTAGAAAAACTAATTAGACACATAGAATAATTTGATTAATGAACAGCCCAATCTTTTAGCATATGCTTGTGCTTATAAGCCAAAATTTGAATTTTCAACCTTAAATTTGGAGTTGATTTTAGGGTTTTTTTGTCGTAGTTTATTTTTCAGCCTTTCCTTTTATATAGTTAAGAACACATATATAAAAGTTTTATTTTTAAATTATTTTTTTATTTGCAAATATACCGTTTCGCTTATTCGTGAATAAGCGAATCTATGGAGTCCATAGGAGTGTGGTGCATACGTATACAGTGTTAATCTTAAATCTTGACATGCATACCCGACACGGTATATAGAAATGAGAAAATTCACCGTTTTTGACCGAAAATTCCGTATTTGCCGTCTAAAGTTTGCAGTGTTTTTTTCTTTGCTATACAAAATTGGCTATATCCCCGCAACATTGCATAAAATTTTGCTTGGCATGCACTGTTATCTTCTTGATTCTTGATTCTTGATGTTTTCACGTCTTCCGGTTGGCTCCATTCTTGATTCTTTGTTTTCACTGGAGAAGCGCGGTATTATATCCAGTGGAGCTACACTTGAAATTGGTAGCTAGCATTCTTTTGTCCCACTTTTGATGGCGTAATTTTTTTAAATATCATTATAGATTTTATGTGTTTTCTATTCGATATTTTGTTTGGATATCATTAGGAGGGAGATGGGGTTTGTCCCATAACCTCAAGCTTTTTTATCTTTCTATTCTTGACTCATTTGATGTGTGCCTGTTGGCAGATGCCCGAGATGTAAATCATTTTTATTATTAAAGAAAAAAAGAATACTGGTGGGATAGTTAGGTGCAGAGATTAGATTCTTGTGTTATACTTAAATCTTGGCTGAATGCCTCCAACAACTGTGTTTCAGACACCTTTCCTAACACACCGTGTGGTAGGGGTGAAAACGGTACGGAAACGGACGAAAAACAGAAGCATATAAGTCCAATAATTAAGTATCAATAGTGCATCACAAAACACAATCTATAGAATAAATCAGTAATGCTGTTGATAAATCCCAATGCATGAAAAAAATATTCTTATGTAATTTTAGATTTACATAACAAATATTTTTTAAAAAATAACAGCCAAACACCATAGTATTAATTATTCAGTGCTTAAAAAAATCCAGGGTATTTTGTGATTTCTGGAAATTCCAAGAAAATTTTCAGAAAGTTTCCGACTGATTCCGAGTTCCGACGGAAACTGCCCTTATCATTTTTGATTTCGTTTCCGAGAAAATATTTCCGAATCCGAATCCGTTTTCGAAAAATTCCGAAAAAATTCTGACCGACAGATTCTGTTTTCGAAAATAGGTCCGGAATTCGAAAAATTTCCGTACCGTTTTCACCCCTACCGTGTGGTGAGCCATTGTTATCAAATTTGTGCCTTATTCCACTGACAACAACCAATTTGTTGTGTTACAGTTTAATTAGTTGGAGAGATATCATCATCAGTGTACTAAATATATATAATATCTGCCGGTTCTGTCAATGTGGGAATAGGATTCACCAACCACCCAGCTATAATGTGTGGTGTTGACAGGTAACAGCCGTGCAGCCGGTGCAGGCCTGCCATCCCATGAGGTGCTGACCGGCCGGTATTGCAACACGGGAAAGTTTCAGGTGCAACAACCCTACCGGGTGCAAACATGGAACCCCTCAACCTCCATCATTGGATCTAGAGGACAGCTACACAACGGGATCCTATTGCAATGGGATACTTTAATGACTCCTCTCCTTCCTCTCTCTTCTGTATAGCTGAGCTTCCACGTGCGCTCCCTCCTGATACCCGGTACCTTGGGTATCGGCTGGTACCTGTTGGTGGCAGTTAAATACTGATTCTATACCGCCAACAACTGCATAAAGATTAGATGATAAAACATCCAACATAGTGATAGGTGTTTAATCTCACATATTCCACAAGTGTTGGTGAATATTTGTATGCAGATGATAAACCCCGGTGTTGGGAGAAAAATCAGACTAAAGTGAGGAGAATTATGTATCCATACAAGGAGGGGTTGTGAACTTTATCAAAACATCAGTGAATCAACCCAAAACTCCGAGAAATGGACAGAAGAGAGCCCAGGGAGTCCACCGACCGAAGGCCAGGCCAGGGGGGCCCAGCCCAGGTTCAACCGAACCAGGGGGTTCGGCCGAACCCTGGCAAGCGCCGTTGGATCCAGGTTTTGGCGTGGACGATCCTGATCATCTCCCAATGATGGTTGCGGGGCAGTTCGGACATTTCCCCTTCGCCAACCATCATACCTACCCCTATATAAGGACATCATCTCACTCACTTCAACACACACTTCCAAGCTTAAGCTGAATTATAAGAGGCTCTATTGTACTATATTGTATACTAGAATAGGAAGAGAGTAGAGTAGAAAAAGTTGGAAGAATTCCGGAGCTGTCGGTAATCTTCTCCTATTTCTTTTATTCTGTTTATTACTCTGAATTCAATATAATATTCTTCTTGAGTAATTTAGATTTATCTTGTGAGAATTATCTCTTAGTTAGTTCCTAAATAACATACGGGATTATTGTTCACTATAATCAACTAAAATATAGTGATTGCTTTGGTGAGTTATAAACACTAAAGTAGATATTAATTGCTTAGACGTGGTGTTTAGATAATTGTTATCCAGTAATTGCTTCGTATCCCACAGTACATTTGAGGTGGGTGTAGAGGTGGTGACAGCCCTCGAGAGCACTTAAGTCCTCCCTGTCCGGGTATGTAGTAGAGCGACATCTGGGAACAACGGGTTGCCAGTGCCTGAAGTATTGCATTACGATTAAAGTTAAGCTTTCCCAATACACTGTTTCTCACTAGTAAATTCTCTCTATCCTGGCCTATCATTTGCTTGGTGTCCTTGGATGAACCGGAAGAAAATCTGACCACACACGTTCCCTTGGATTCGATACCCTTAGAATACTCCGTAGGGGAAGTGCTACATCGGTATATCCGCGCGCTTGCGAATTTTGTCTGTAATCGTAAGAAATAACAACAGTACCAGGTACCTGGTACCTTGCTACGGGCTGATCACTACTAGAAAAAGTATTTTTGCAAGCGGCCAAAAGTGATATTTTCACGTGGAGGGGAGGACCGCCTGCAGCCCAACGAATGCGAAAATCGATGATTTATCGATTTTCGCAGTCGGGGCAATAGCCCGCCTGCGAAAATGTGTTGAAAAAACAAAAAAAAAATCGCGGGCGCCGCCGCCACCGCCGCCCTCCACCAGTCGGAGCCGCGCCGGGCGTCGTCGTCGCCGCCGCCGCCCCGCGCCGTCGTCGTCGCCGCCGCCGCCCCGCGTCGTCATTTGCTGTTGCAGGTTCAGCTGCGACGCCTCGCCGATCGGCCGTCACGCTGGCGAGCTCTGTGTGGCGGAGCAGCTCCCCGCCGTCCGGGGTCCTAAGCCAGCAGAAGCAGCTCCGTGCGGCAACGCCTTCCCTAGCGCTGGCAGCGGCCTGCCAGCTCACAGCACGAGGTGCAAATTCCGGGAGGAGGGGCAACGCACGAGGTGGCGGTGGTGTGCCGCGGGGACGAGTGCGGTTCGAGGGACAGGGAGGTGGTGGTGAGGGAGGTGGTGGTGAGTATCGACGGGGAGAAGGTGGTGGAGGCGCGGCGGGTGAAGTGGAACTTCCACGGAAACAGGATGGTGGTGCTCGGGGACGCGGTGTAGTGGAGGTGATGTGGGACGTGCTTTGTCCCGTCGCAACGGAAGGCCGTGGAGTAGTTTTTCTGTTGGATCTAATATGTGCGGTCTAGATCAAGCCCCTTCTCCCCCACAATGCATTTTGCAAAAAAAAGTACCCACCTCGAACGACCTTTTTGCATTTTAATCCCTACATTCCGCTCTCTTCTTTCCTGGACCCCTCTCTCTTCCCGTCCCCTCGCTCATCCTCTCTCGGTGGTGCACAACAAGGCGCGGCAAATGGGCTGGTTGAGGTTGGGACACGAGCAGCAGATTCGTGCTGCTCGTTGTTGACGTCGGACCGGTTGCTCCCTGTCGTTGCCACCGCCTTCGCCACGTTTGCTCACGCTTCTGCTTGTCGCTGCGCCGCCACACCTCCGCCGCTGTCCCCGACCTCGCCGCATCAGGACCATAGGTGGGTGCATGCGCTGCAGCCGCCCCTTTGCCATCGCCCATATTTCTTTTTTCTTTTTTTTTTTTGCTGTGTAACTTTTTTACTCTTAAATTGAAGGATAAATACTAGTTATAATTATTTTTCTTGATAAGATTTAACATTTGTATTGTTTTTACTCCTAAAATCCTCAACGAGTAAATTTTTACTTCTGGTTATAAGCGTGAGTAAATCTTTCACTTCTGGTTATAGGTGTTAGTAAATCTTTTACTCAGTGAGGAGAGAGGGGTGAGATAAAGAGAGAGGAAGAGGAGCCCAGGGACCAAAACACAAAAAGATAATAATAGGTGGGTGGTTTTTTGCAAAATATATGGTAGGGATGAAAGGGTACAGAAAGGAGAAAGGAGGTTGCATGCATGTTTGCACTGAAAGGGGGTTTGTACGTAATACATTCCCTGCAACAAGGCCACTACCGCTATGTTTATCTTCTTCTCTCTCACCGTCTCTTCATTGCAACCTCGTACTATCCCCTGCGTGGGCTGATGGTGTTAATTACATCCTACTACACGATCTGCGCCAACCACCACCACACACGCCAAAACATTTTTTTTATCATTTTCTGTGAATTTATATAATTGTAATTAAATTGACTCTTTTTTCTACAAAATATTTAAACAATTCAGGTCCCGTTAGATTTGCATCAGGGTCTAATAGCGGTCACGTACAAATCCCCTGCACAGAATTGGATGCACACTCGGCCACTAGTATGGCAACCAGTATGGCAGTATGGCACCAGTATGGCAACGCTATGTGAGACCTTCGCAGGGCTGGCTCCGGGCCTATGCGGGTTGTGTGACCGCCTACGGTCCAGAGCAAAGAGAGGCCCATTAGAGCGAGTACAATAGCAAGCTACAAGTCAGTAGTAAGTACATGTGGAAGAGAGAAAATAAGAGAGAGAATGAAAGCGAGCTACATATTTGTAGGCAGCTGCAGCACGAATTCTAATATATTGTATGTGTATGAGAGTTGGGACCATATATTAATGGTTTATAGATAACTATTATATGAATAAGCTATTAGATTGGCTATATATGATTTGAAGCTAGTAGTTGGCTATACTATTAAAATTGCTCTTAGTAAAGCCCATTTGATAGGCAGGGAAGGTGTGTTCGTAACATAGTAAAAAAACCGCGGAGATCGAAATGGTCAAGTTGCTGGTTCACCGGTTCACTGGTCCAACCGCCGGGTCACCGGTCGAACCGTGGTTTTTTCCGGTTCAACCGCCGGTCCGGTCCGATTTTTTTGTCCTATGGTCCGTAATGCCGCTTTGGTTTCGAGGAGCATCTAGGGCAACACGTGCGGCGCTTCCACTTCGATCTGGTGGCCCGCTGCTGGCGCTTTCTCTTCTCCGGCCCACTCATCTCGACGGTGCGACCAAAAGCGATCCGCGTTCTCATCGTAAACTACTTTCCTGTCTCCTCACAGCGAGATGCCGAGATGGCGATCCCACGCCAATACATCAATGCCATGAGCACGCGGCAAGCGGTCTAGCAGAAATGCAGCCAGCAGCTAGATAAGCCCTGCTTCTTGTTCTAGCTTGTTTGTATGACTGGCTCATTGCATCTATATTCTATGATTGGCTCATGGGTTAATAAGGTTTTTTCTTGTTCATGTTATTTAATTTACTTCACAACTTCACTATATTCAGGTGTTACAATTTCATCTAAAAAGCATCACGACCAGGAATGCATTTGTCAGGTGCTCGGAAAACAAACAAAAGGAAAGAAGAATAATTTATTGATTTGCAAAAGGAAACGAGAAGTTCTTTTGTATGAGAGACATTGAACATTTGTGGCCTTCTATTTAAGGTATTTATACTATAGTGTTTTTTTAGTACTTTTAGTTGTCTATTATCCTATCAACATTAATTATTTGTCGAGAATTAAATAACAAATTGCAATTTGGAACTACTTGATTTATTATTTATCATGTTATTAATGTTTATCATGTAATTATATAGGTTCCAATTATATATTGCACTGCAAGTAAAACATATCCCTCTCTTCGCATTCTTTCCGGCCCTCTTTTTTTTTTCATTTTTATTCCGCTCGACCCCACCTTCTCCCTTTCCCACTCTCTGTTCTCTTCTCTTTCCCTCCCTTTGCTTCACCTAGAAAAGAAAAATAAAAATTAAAATGACAAACCAAAACTTGAACCCATGATCTCATGTTCATAGCTAACTCTTCAACACGATTTTCCCTATGACACTATGTGATTAAAGATCATTGTTTCCTTGCTGTGTATGTATGTTCAAATTTGTGAGAACAAATTAGTTATGCTACTGTAGAAATCATACGTGTTTACTGTGATTTGGTAGTAACATTATCAAAAAAGACATCATATGTTACTGCAAAACTTATAGCTTGTTACTGTACTTTTGGTAGGGCCCTGTCCAGTTCAGAAGACGGCATCAACAACACAGGCATAAAAAAGCCTGTGGCTTCAGCCGTCAAGAAACCACAAGCCGCACCTAAGACAAAGAAGGTGTGGCAAGTTTAGAAAACGACACCCACTTTCTCACCTCCAGAGCAGGGTGCCGCATCATCAAGCTAAAACGATGGAGGTACGGTCATGCTCGTCGGACTAAAAACGATGTCGCCCTCGCCAATAGGTAAATTGATATGTATCCCATATTTATTTCCATCAATTTAATTTATGAATCATATCATGTTTTTTTCCATTGCATTAAAAAAATTAAATTTGAATTTTGGAATTAAACTTCAAGACAAATTTATAAAATGAATTTCTGAGCAAAAATAAAATAAATGTGTTGGTCAACTTCAATGTGGCTCTCACAAATTTAGCCGTTGGGAGCCAATGGCTAAATGTTGGGCTGGTTGGGCCCACCAAGGGGTTCGGCCGAGCAACGATCGGCTGCCAAATGTTTTGGGGGCAACGGCTAGTGGGCCCCACTTTACAGTTATAGCCGTTGTGTGTGCATTACATAAAGGGTTTGGCAGGTGAGGGGAGTTCAACTCACGTTCAACACATTTTCACTCCCTCTCACATTCCCTCTTGCTCTTAAATTCATCTCAAACCTTGAAGTGTGGATCTCAAGTTTATACCCCGCACTTTGATTTCATTTCTTACATATAAAAGTCGCTTTGGTGCAAGGCTAACCGGCGGGTAGTATTATTCTTGATTAGCTTAACCCCTGCCCTAGTTTGCCTTGTGTTCTTGCTCTTTCTGCAGGCATGAAGAGACGAATCATGCGCTTGTTCAAGAAGGGATCGAGCACCCAATTAAGTCGTCACCAAGACGAGTCGAGTGCTCGTTCATCCATTGATGTTTTGATGGAGGATGCAGATGTTCCGCCAAGACTTCTTCACGACTCTGACCTGGACCTCGCGTGTGACCGAGAAATACAAGCCTACCGTATGCTCAAGGATCGGTCGTTTGCTCACACCCGAGCATATGACCCTGAACTTCTTCAAAAGATAGGTATGGATGTTGATTTCCGCAAGTTTGGAATGCTGTAGGATGGGAGAACTGTGCTGTGGTAGATGAGCCTGGTTCTCATTTGCTTACTTTGCAGTTTCTTTGTACCTTGCAGAGGTAGACAAGGGCATTTCTTTTCGGTTTTTCCGTAAGGAGTATCATCTTTCTTGGAAAGAATCAAGTCTACTTTTGGGTTTTCACCAAAATTGCAAAATCAATTTTCGGAAGGCAACTTCCAATTTTGAGAGAAACAAATTTTGGTAAGATATTTCGATTGCGTCATTCTGCAGAAAGCCTAGAACAAATGATATCCATAATCCTACTCTTAGGCTTATGCATAAATGGCTTGGCATGATTTTATTCCCTAGAGCTGATCTTAGACTCATTCGTGAAGATGAATTGATTATCTTGTTTTCCATGGTTAGAAAAATTAAAGTCTCTCATGTGCAATGCATGATCCGTCAATGGTTAGAGAATATCAAGTTTTCTGGTCCTAGTGAATGCACTTCTTTAGTTACTCGCATAGCAAATAGACTTGGGGTTATACAGGGTGATCAAATTGCCTATATTTCCACAGTTCGTTCTTATGTTGATGAAGCTTATTTAGTGCAAGGGCATACACATAAGCATGAGCCAGATAATACACTTGTATTTTTCTTTCTTGGTTGTACAAATATGATCTCGTTACCTAACCCGGGGTATCATTTGTACAACTGCGATGAGCTAACCATTCCTCTGCAGATGATAGAGGAATTTCATGCAGGTGCTTCTCACAGGGCGACACGAAACATGGCAGGAGAAGAAGTCGAGGAATCAACATCTTCACCACTAGTGCAGATGTATGAGGTTGATTGGGCCCTAATTGGAGATGCTCCCGATTGGACCCAAGTACCGCAACGTGACGCCGGTGGAACTTGCCTCATGACACACACTGGGGGTACTCCCGTTCTTCAAGTTCCAGTGGCGTCCCTCCATCCTCATGGATGCGTCACTCGGTCTCCTCTCGTGGGGATTTGGGTGAGCTCACTCGGAGGGTGTGCGCTCTTGTGCTGCAAGCCGGAGAGATACAACATGCGCTTGAAGATCACATCATGCAGACTCAAGAGTGGCAGCAGAATATTGATGCACGACTTTCCAATTTGGACAACATGATGTATCAACAGCAGGCTGACTTGCAGGCCTACTTTCGCCATTAGGGGTTCAATCCTCACCCCGGACCTTGAGCAAAAAGCAAGCTTGGGGGAGAGGCCTCTCCCCCGCTAAGGTGACTTGTATTTTTTTCTTTCACATTGCATTTCCCTTTCGCATTGAATTTATAATTAGAAAATAACAAAAAAAATTGCAACACATAAAAAGAACAAAAATATATGTTAGAAATTTATTGTGCTAGGTAAGACTGCTTAGTTCTTTATGTTGAAATGATGAATAGTTTTTATGTTTTATATCTCTTATGCATTGGTTCATAGTTAAGTACACTCTCAAGTTTTAAGTCGGGAAAGCCAAATATTATCCGGGAACCTGGGAGATGTGAGCTGCACATTGCATGATCTAAGTCTAAGTTGTTGTGAGATATGATATGGTAAAATAGAGTTACTATAATATTGTTCTAAATTTGACTGGAATTCTGGACGTTTTATTTTTCAAAATGATAAATATTGAAAGTTCCTCATTTGATACAAATTCCTACCAGAGACAAAATACTGATATTCATTATAAACCTTATACTTTGGTTACTTGTTATTCCATTGAACTTTGTCGAAATTCTTGTCACGTTTGTCAGATGCTTCTCACACTATATGATCAAGATCACACACCTCCACATATATGCACACATATGCTACGTCTAGTACACTGAAAGTTAGCATCCACTACATCCATCATAATTATATTTTCTATTTTCATCCATCACTACTGCCAAATAAATACTCCATGTCATATATATCCTTTACTCACCAAAAATCTCAAAAGAAAGAGAGGTATGACTATACTAAAGAAAAAAAAGAGAGAAAAAGAAAATCTTCCTCATACAAAATGTGGGGCACGATGAAAAAAAGGGGGAGAGAAGAAAAGAGCTAGCCATACTCTCTCAAAGCTTGCAAAAATAAAGGAGGAGAAGGTATATAAAAAGGAGTAAAGTTTAGTTTTATATTTCTCCAGCAAATAGGTCTTAGTTCCACCACAAATAGGATTTGCTATCTTCTTTGGTCCAGCGTTTTGACTTAGTAATAAATGTGAATGCAATATTCCTACCAAACTCTACATATTTGACCTTTAGAATATGGACAAAAAGATAATATTTTGATGAGGAATATACAAAGACACTTTTGAGTGATCGAGAGAATCATTTGAGGAACTTAGTTTTATTTGCAAAATCATTTGAAAACCTCCGGAATAAAGGTTAGATAAGGAATAAGCGATTGGTGTTGTACTAACTGTTCTGTCTCTCAACCGCTCAAGACAGGGAGAAGCATGTGTCCCATGGGTGTCGGGCGTATGGGTAAGCCAACATGCGAACTCGCTTAACTCGAGAGAGATTACTCATACTTTGCACCTGTACCTTTGAGATACAGTACGGTAGCAATTATGCATCGAACGATCGATGACCGCCGAGTGGCAGAATTATGGATGGATGGGCTTACAAAACCAATTTAACACATGCAAATAAGCCTAACTACCATGCCACAGAGTATAAGGCGCAACAAGGAAGTTCCCGACCAAAACTGGGGGCCAGAGGGGCCGGCCCAAGTTCGGCCAAACCAGGGGTTCGGTCAGGGTTTGAGGAGGAATAGGAGGGGACTTTTGAAAAACAAAATAAATCTCCTTATTTAAAGGGAACAGAGTGTGTGATAGCTTTTGTGAGTATCCAAGGGTTACTTCTTTATGTTCTGAAAGGGCTAGGTATGACTTTTCTAGTCATTTCTGATAGGGTACGTACTGTAAAATCAAAGTGTTTTTTATTCTTATTTTGTTATGAACAATTGGCATATGAGATTATTGGTTTTGATATTTGGAGATTATTGGCAAAGCGGTTTTGGAGATGATTGGATTTTACAGGTGATATACAGGTGTTGCTGGATAGTTGGTCTGGTCAGACCGAGCAGGTGTTGCCGGTCAGACCGATGTGTATCGAGCGGTCAGACCGGCCAGCCCGCGATCTGACCGGCCGACTCTGTGTCGGTTTCGGTTTCAAGTTGTTTTGTTGGATATCCGTGATAGTTTTATGTTTATGGCTTCTAGATAGATACTATACGTATGTAATACTGTTGTTTGCTAACAATGAGTCAAGTTGGAGATAGCTTGTTCTCGGAATATGGTTTCTTTGTTTGGTTCATGTTTAGGTGGAGAGTATTGCCGGTGATGGATCGGGAGTCGACTTGGAGATAAGGCGACGTCGGACGGTCAGATATCATGCGGGATACTTAGGCTAATGTTCAATGCACGTGGTTGGTGAAGATTTCATATAGCATAAGATTTCATATTGTGTGCGTATGGGATGCGGAGTCGAATTTGCAAGGAGACCAAATTTGGTACGATTGGAGTTTGTAAAGTTTGTTTCTTGTACGGGATGGTTTCCTAGGTGGATTAGGACTTCTTATGTGAGTTTGGTTCGTGGCTTTAGGCTGCCTACCTCATGTATAAATAGAGGAAGGGTGTGGCCTCCCGGTATCGCATTAGAGAGCATTGAGATGAGAGAATAGTTAGTCGAAATTTTCGTGAGGAGTGCTATTGTTGCACTTTGTAAACACAGAGAGAAGTACTAAAGTTGTCATCTACATCAAGATTTCTTCAATTTGTGTTTGCTTGGATTTGGCGGTCTAACCGGCGAGACACTGGTCGTCAGAATGGCGGCATCGCGGCGGTCAGAACAACGGCAGCTTCAGACCGAAGATTCAATCTCGGTCAGACTGACGGCTTCCAGACGGTCAGACTGGCACATCACTTTCGGTCAAACTGCGATCCGTCGAAATTGAGGGTAACTTTTATTTCCGCTAAAAGTTTTGGTTTTTGGGTATGCCAACCACTTGTATTCGGTCCTACAAGTGGTATCAGAGCATTGTTCTCTTCTTTGGATTTTAACCGATCTAGAGTCTTAGCCATGGCTAACAAGTTTACTACTAAGCCCCATGTTTTCGATGGTTTGGATTTTGCTTATTGGTGTAATAAGATGCAATCATACATTATGGCTGAGGATCTTGATATTTGGAGAAAAGTTTCTAATCCTTATTTGATTCCTGATCAAATTAATACTGCTGCTTTAAAAACTGAATTTGAATAAAATTGCAAAGCTCAAAATATTTTATTGAGTGGGATTTCTCGTTCGGATTTTGATTGTGTTTCACATTTTCAAACCGCCAATGAGATTTGGATTGCTTTGAGAAATTTTCATCAAGGAACTACCAATATTAAAGAACTTCGTCGGGATATTTTCAACAAGGAGTACATAACATTTGAGATGAAATCTGGAGAAGCTTTGGATGACTATCTTTCTAGATTTAACAAAATTTTGAGTGATCTTAGATCTGTTGATTCTTCTTATGACACAAATTACACACAATCTGTGGTTTCTCGTCACGTTTTGAATGGTCTTGACATGTCTATTTGGGATATGAAAGTTACATCAATTCAGGAGTCTGTTGATATGTCTACTTTGACTTTGGATTCACTTTACACAAAATTCAAAACACACGAGATGAATATTTTTTCTCGTAAAGTTGATTCTAAGTCTAGTGGTTTGGTTTCTTCCACGACTTCTTTGGATGTTGGTGCTTCTTCATCAAATTCTACCGTTCTTGCTTTAATTCATGCCATGTCCGATGAGCAACTCGAACAGTTCGAGGAGGAGGACTTGGCTTTGGCTGCTAACAAGATTTCTTGAGCTATAAACAATGTCAGGTACAGGAAAAGAGGTGGTTCAACTCGTTGCTTTGAATCTGGTTCTCATGATCACATTCGTTCATATTGTCCTAAGCTTGGAAGAGGCAAGAAGGAAGACAATGGTGGAGAGAAGACCAAGGACAACAAGTCCAAGAGTATGTTCAAAGGGGAAGAAGACTAAGGAGAATCTCAAGAAGATGTTTGATCAAGTCTATATCGCTTTTGAGCCATTGAGCGATGTAGATGGTGAGAATGAAGATGAAGATAAAGGAAAGAACATCACTGGTGTCTGCTTCATGGCATGTGATGAATCGGATTCAGAGTGTGAAGACAATGATGTGAGTTCTTTTGAGGAAGCTATTCTTACTTTAAGTGCAAAAAATAAGAAGTGTGAGAAGATGTATAGAAAACAAGAATTTATTATTGAATCTCTTAATTCTGAAATTGATATATTAAAATCTCTTATTCCTAATGATGATGATTGCAAAAATTGTGAGGTTTTAATGCATGAAATTTCAAAAATTAGAGATATCAATGTTGCACATGATTTCAAAAATAGATATTCTCTAGCTCTTTGATTTGTCTTGCACACACGCACTTTGGATGAGTTGTTTTTAGATAAAAACTTGTTGAAAAAAAAATCAAATTGCTTTTCATGCTAGTTTGATGTTTAACATGATTTGTGCTAAAAAGTTAAAACAATAGCATTTGTGTTTTGGATTGCTCAACATGCACACTAAACAAGATGAAGCTAAAAGATGCTTTAGGTCGTGCTGAGTAAATGGAGGAAATTGTGAAAACTAATGAAGTGCTTTCTTGCCCTAAATGTCGTAAGAGCAAAGGTGTCATGGTAGATTGTGAAAATTGTGCTAATTTAGAAAAAGAGGTTTCTTATTTGAAAAGTTCTTTGCAAAGATTTTCTGATGGTAAGAAACAACTTAACATGATTTTGGATCAATCTAAAGTGACTAGCTACAATAGAGGTGTTGGTTTTGATGTTCATGACTATTTCACCAAAAATCAACCTAATGTTTTGAGTGTGACTGAACATGGTGAAATTTTGACAAAATCAAGTGCTAAGATAAAAATTTTTAATTCTGCTGGAAATATGCCCTCTGTTTCTGCAACACTAAAAGAAACAAAAGCAAAGCTTTCAAGACCATCTGCTTCTAAAGAAAAGTATACTTGTTCTTTTTGTGGTAAAGATGGACATCTTGTTGGTTTTTGTTGCAGTTAGCTCGTAAACAGAAAAAGGAGAGAGAAATTGCTTTTACAAAATTAAAGTGGCAAAAATCCGGTGTTCCCTCGAGGAAACCGGTCAGACCGCAGTGGGTTGACTAGCGACCGGTCAGACCGGTAGTAGTGCCTCGGTCAGACCGGACACCGGTCAGACCGGCGGTTCATAAGCGGTCAGACCGGCCCCCGGTCAAACCGGCTACTGTACTTTGGTCAGACCGGCCTCGGAGTGATTTTTCTAAAAATTCTCAAACTATTTTTGCACGTGCATATATGTCACGCCCTGAAGTCCTTCTCTCTAACCAAAAATTCAATTAATAAATTGTTGCAAGAAATTATTTGTTTAAAGGCAAGAGAGAAACCCTAAATTAATAAATGCAAATAATAATCGGAATCGGCATGTGGAATTTTTCTTGAGTTCCCCATTCTCTAATATATTAACAAGATTTTTAGTGGAATTTTCAGAGCATTGGAAATAATTTTAACCAATTAAAATAAGCAAAGTGCAATATTTAATCCCTGGGAAAATCCTTTTTCCCTTTTCTCTTTTCTTTTTCCTCCTTTTTCCTTTTCTTGGGCCACCGGCCCATTTCTTCCCGTGCCGGCCTGCTCTTCCCTCCCACTCCCGAAGTTCACCCGGCCTCCCTCTCCCTCTCGGGCGTTGGCAGGTGGGGCCCACATGCTAGCCCTTTCCCCCACCTCCAGTCGCCGGCGCCCCACCTCCCCACGTCACGCCGCAACCGCCGCTCCACCTCGCACTCCCATGCCGCCTGTCTTCCTCGCGCACCCGTCCCCACGTCACCGCCCTCCCCGCCGTTCCCCCCCCGGTGTGCGCGCCCGCAAATGGGTGGGATTTGATTTGAATCCTTCCCCCTCTCTCTTCCTCTACTCCCCCATGTCGCCGGCCAAATAGGGGCCATTCCCGGCCACGTCCGCCTCTCCCTCGCCCATAAAAACACTCGCCCGACACTCCTCTCCCTTTTCCCCTTTTTACCGCGCTCCCGCACGCTCTCTACCGCCGCCGTGCCGCTCCCTGCTGGCGCCGCCGCTTGCCACCACCTCCGGCCGCGCGCCGCCGCCGCTAGAGCCGCCGCCGCACCAAGCCGCCACCGCCGCCAAAGCTACCCCGGCCGCCACTTCCCTATCCAATCCCGCCGCCGGAACGCCTCTCTCCCCGTGCGCCGTTGAGTTTCGCCGCCCTTCCCTTCTCCGGCCGGCCACGGTAGCCGCCATGGGTTTCCTCCCAACCCCTAACCCCTATCCTCTCTCTCCTAGGGTGCCGCCGCCGCCCATCCAACCCTTCGCGTCGCTGGTCGTCGTCACCACCTTTGCCTTCCGCTCCGGCCGCCATACCCGCCGGTGAGGTTCCCCTCTCCTCCCTCTTTCCTTTTCTCCCGTGTGTGCCGCCGTTCTCCGCGCGTGCGCCGCCGTCGCCTTCGACCGACGCCACCGCCTTCCACGCCGTCTGCCGCCGCCTCCTGCTGCCGGTTGCCGTTGCCGGCAACCGCGCGCCGCCGCCGCTCACCATGGCTGGCCGGCCGACTTGAGGCCGAGCCGAGCCAGGCCGGCGCCTTCCTCCTCCCCTTTGAGCCACCGCCTGGTGGGGCCCACCCGCCAGGCCACCTCCTCCTCCTCTTGTGTCACTGACCCGTGGGTCCCGCCTATCGGCGCCCCCCTGGATGATGTCAGCAGGGATGATTTATTGCGCAATAAATAATTAAGGTTTTTCTGTTTATAGTAAAAATACAGAGAAACTTTTAAAAACCATAACTAATTCATCCGAGCTCCGATTTGCTTATAGCATGTTTTATAACATGTAGTCTTATAGCATGTTTTGCTTGTATGCTTTGTTTGTCGCGTAGATTTCGGGCGTTCCAGCGATACGCGGTTCCTCGAAGACGTTGCTGTGGTCTCATCAGCACGAGAGCAAGGCAAGTCATGCATTACAATTGATCATGTTGTACCCAATTTACAAATGTCCCGCATTTCTATTAAATGTTGCATTATTTTACAGTATATCATGTGGGATGGGTCCTATTACTCAGCCATAGATTGTTTACCTTATGCCATTGATAACTTGGGTATCAAAATGACTAGATGTTGGCTTAGGAAATGCTTAGCCATGCTTAGTTCAACTAGTACACAAAGGGGGATCATATTAAAGCATAGACTTTGATTATGGGCATAGCTTTGGATTAGTGCCACCGCAATGGTGTTGATTAATTAAAATACACTACATGGTGGGCTGTGGGTGCATGGTTTTGCTAGTCGTGCCCATGGCGATTAAGGACCGGTTCACAAGATGCCTTGGAAGAACTTATCGTACTTACCACAAGCCAGCGTGGGCAACGGCTGGGCTTGTAGTGTAGCTTTCCTCTAGCCGACGTACCCAGGCAAGGGTGGGCGTGATGGAGTTGGGTCGGCCGGGGTGTCCGGTTGATCGGCTTCCGGATTCACCGTGGCACGAGAGGGGACTGCCCGCTGCCTTGCGAGGAGTGGGGGTGAAACCTGAGGTGTGGTGCGATTGGTTAGAGGGGGTTATGCGAAGGGTCCTGTCACGGCCTCTTTCTAGTATGTCGTGGTGGCATGCCGGCGCACGGGAACGTGTCATGGGGCTGTGTCTTGTGGGTACAGTTGTACACCTCTGATCAGAGTAAAACTATTCGAATAGCCGTGCCC